TTCTATTTGGAAGATAAACTGTTGGTAGGCTGCATAGTTCTTGGTCTGATAGTTGGTCTTGTGTTGTGAAGGCTTGATGACTGAACTCTTCTTTGAAGAATTTGAGTTAGAGGTCAGAACATCAAGTGATTCTGTTCACTCATGCTTTCTATTCAGAGTTCATAAATCCTGCTGTAGTTCTTGAATTCTCTTCATGAAATGTATCCACTCTCTTAAGTCCTCAAGAGATTCTGTGTTCTCTGGAGATGGTTTCTCAGCCTGGGTTATGCTTTCATCCAGATTTATTGTTGCACTCAGTGTCTTGGCTAACTCTGATACTGAGGAAAGGGTTGAGGATTCAGTTTGATCTCAGTTGTTCTGTCTTGTGGAAACCATTGTCAGACCACCTGCTTATTTGAGTGGCAAACTGTGAGGCTCAGGTGGTTGCAGGTAATGTGGCAATGGCTTACAGCCTTTGTAAATGTGGTTAGGTTGAGTGAGAAGTGGTTACAAAGGGATCTAAGCATGAGAGAGAGAGAGGTAACTTGTATTGCTACAACAGTATCTAGAATCTCTAGATATGTTGCCACTGACCTTTGTAAAGAAGTGTCTGTGGCAGGTTTTGTGTGTTCAGCTTTGCTAGTGTGATCATGTGATCAGTCATGAAGTTTATGAACTCCAGATGCCATGGAGCATGATCATCTAAGCATCAAGAAGATTTTACAAACCTCTTTTAGATGATGGGATGAATGTAAGAAGACTGCAGTGTGGAGCCTTACACTGATGAGATCTCTGTTTTATAGATCCACAAATGTGTTTCTTGGCCAATGACCAAAGTTCTGGCCAACTGGGTATACACTTTATATATATACTGGCCAGAAAATAACAAAATCTATATAATACTGCCACTGATCAATGTACAGGCCCACACAACTCAAGGAACAGTTGCTCAATCCCCCATCTGTTTCTGTTTCTTCACTCTGGAACTGGGCCCCTTGTTTGAATCCCAAGCCTTCCAGGTGTGGGCATTGATGGATGAGTTAGCCAGAGGTGTTCATGGACCAGAGTTGGACAGTTGATCAGATATATACTGAAAGTGACTATCTGTACTGGACAGCAGACCAGATATTATATGAGAATTTATTGAAGGCACTGATTGAATACTATGCCAGAGGGTTGACACAGATGTTGAGAGTAATGTGAGTGTCATTGAGTCTCTGAATATGCTGAACTGAGGATATGACAATTGAACTGAAGCAGAAACCTGACAATATGGATGGGCCTCAACAGTAGCATGCTGACTGTTGGGCAACAGCACATTTGATTGAATTTCTGAAGCAAAGAACTGACTATCTGAGACAAGAACATCTGTCTGAATTGCTGAAATGAACTGACTATCTGACATCAGTATGTCTGTCTGATCATCATTGAGATTCTGACTAACTGATGATTCCAAACCATCTCTTGACATGCAGTTATGAAGATGAGACTCTGAAATTCTTAGAGTTCAGTTGATCTGGGCTGCTGAAGCCTGAACAGTTCATACAGACTGAGTGACAGACTCTGATGCAAGTCTGCTCAACTCTCTGATAAACTTCTCACTGTCTGAGCAAATAGACTTCTGATCAACTCAATGAGAAAGCTGTTTCAACAACTGAGCTTCATTTAATATCAACTGATCTGAACACAAATCTATAAGTTCATTCTTTGACATCAGAATCAAATAAGTGGGCTTCCATGGCATCTCTTGATAATAGAAATCAATCCAAGAGTTCAATCAGATCTGCATCTGAAGAACAACATTGTGATGGTGCTTAACTCTTGTTTCCTAAACAACAATGAAGAACTAGAATATATCCAGCAATTTAGAATCACACACAGAGCAGCATGTGAAGCCTTGCTGATCAACTGTTAACTGTTCAAAGTGGTTCAGAATGAGATGATGGAGACAGTCATAATCAGAGTTGACCAGCTTGTACAGTACATCTTGAACACAGTCTCATCTCTCAGCTCAGCTACTTTTAGTGCCACTGACAGACTTCATTCTCAGCTCAGATGATAATCAAGCATCTCCAGCCTGACCATCTTCTACAAAGAGACTGCCCATACTGATCATCACTGATCTGACAACACTGGCAGCCACACTGACAGCCACAGTTGAGGGACTAGAGATCTGTGAATTAGAATCAGAATTCAGTTCAAGAAGCTGTTTGTACACTGATTTGGTCTTGCTGTCATCTGAAATTCAAGATCCTTTATAATTCTTCTCAACTAACAACACAAATGTTCCAGACCAACCACTGGCCCAAGCAGTCCAACCCAATCACTATCATAGCATATTGACAGATGGCTCAACAAACATGCCATATTGAACACTGATCTCAATATCAGAGACATCTGCACCATGCATCATAACATCTGATGTGATCAGTATTCAGATTCAACTATCAGTCTTACAGAACTCCTCATACAGACTGGCCTTGTCATATTTCATCAGACTGACATGATATAATTTGACAGTGGAGCAAGTCAGAGTAGTGGAATACCCAAAGTGACTGACCAATCAATCTCTGACCATATCAAGAGTGCTCTCCAGAACATCCTTTTTCATCATAAAGACTATGATTTTAGAGATTCTATCTGGTGTCAGCTCACAGTTCTGATATGATGTTTCAACAGTTGTAGCAGTGGTTTTGCCAGAAGTCTGTTTAATTATGAAGAAAAGTGACTCAAAAGTATTGAACTTTCTACATTCAATATAACTGACCAGAATAGCTATCTCAGGCTGATTCACATCAGTATGAATAATATCATAATCTGAGTGCAATGGAATAGAGTCAAACACAGCTTTCATGGTGGTCTGATCACAGATGGCAGTGATCTCAGTTCATGGCATGTAGCTCAGCAGTGTCTTGACCATATAGAGACATGAAAACAAATGTCAGAACTTCTGCCTCCAATCTGACATCAGATGTAATTCATCTATGACTATAACAGTCAAATGATTTTGAAAAACAGAATCTTTGAGGATCAGCTGCAGCTTTGAACTGATCAGCAACTCAGAACTTATGTACAGATGAGTATATAATTTCTGAAGCAATTCTGATGCCAGATTTGACTGATCAATGTTATCATCATAAACATACAGTGAGTGAGCTTCAGGCAGGGACTGCATCTTCTGAATCTGTTCAGCCCCAATAATATTGAGAGGAAGCACACATATAATCATCTTCTCAGACAGCAGAATTGAGAGAGTCTGGACAATCATACTTTTGTCAAATGAGATCTTCACAATGAGAAGAAGATCATTTCTCTGATAAAGAAGCACAGTGAGCACATTCAACTGACACTCTCTGAATTGATAACTAAAGACTGACTCAATGATACTGACCACATGTGCACACCACTCTGTTTCATCCATGAAGATTGCCAACAGAACCCAATCTTCATCATTGTGAACAGAATCTGTCTTCAGTGCTAGGGAATCAGACTGTTAAACAGCTCTGAACCATCTTGAATAAGCCCATCTCTTCTTCACTACTTTCTGTGAACTCTTGCAATGTGATGTGTACTTCATTTTTAACCAACCCAGAAGAAGGCAGCACAACAGACATAGAGCAGAAAGTAAAAAAAAGAATGTGTACTTCAATGAAGAAACTGCTTGTCTAGTTGATCAGAGAATTTGAACAATACCCAGCTGAAAGTGATGATGTTATAAGAATCAGACAAGACAGAGTCAAAAAGATTGTGTGAAAACAGATAATATGAAATCTCAACAACAAAGACTTGAGTCAGTCTACAAAAAAGACAGATAAGTGCTGGAAGATCACTGACTCAGAGAGAAGACATGTTTATGTACATACTGTTCTTATAGAATAACTAGAGCTGATCAATCAGTATTTCCCAATCAGATAATCAAATGAAAAAATCTGACAATGCAGAGCAGATCAAATGAGAAGCTCTACAGTAAATTTAAACACAATTATAGATGAAGTCTATATAAAAAAACATTGTATTAAGTTCTCAGAGCAGTAAATCCAACATGTGTGGCTCTGGCCCAGTTCACAATTCTCAAATTTGTATGACAATTTCCAACTTCCTGCAAAAAAGCTGAAAACTGGCTCAGATGCTGTGCTGGTCAGGTTCTGGCTGAATTACCTGAATGGGTTAGTTCAAAACACTAAATTCGCGCTAAAGAACCTTAACAGCACGCGTCTGAGATGATGAGGTAAATCTACAATATCTACTACATCTGGTTCAACCTGCTCCACATCGCCAGATTTTTCCATTTGGTTACCCAATTGGGAAATACAAGGTAGAGGATGATTACTCCATGGTTTTTCAAATAAATAAAAATTTTAAATTGGGTATAACTTTGTATAACTATCAGCTACTCTCAGCTCTAGTATGAAGATTCTAAGAGCTGTGGTGGTTGAATGGTTGAGCAAAATGGAAATTTCAGACTGCACCCGTCACAAAATGGGTGGCCTTGGGAGAAGTCTTATACCAAAAGAATTAGTAAATTTTTTGATTTTTTTTTTGGACAAAGTGCTTGCTCACCTATTTCTCAACAATGATACGCATCGCTTTTGACAGTATTAAATGTGGTGGTTGAGTTATTGAATGGCCATAGTTGAAGAAAAGTGGTGTCGCAGCGATGAAAACTGGCTCAGACCTTCAACGGATGTTGAAGAGAAGTCTCAATTCAGCCTAGTGTATCTTGGCATAGCCCCACCCTAGTTAGTAGGAGACGGCTCTTCAACATACGGTGAAGGTCTGAGGTTATGAGGCAAACTCCGTACTCTATAGGCACTAAGGCTCCTTGAAAGTATTTCACCCTACGGAGTATATCAATAACTACCCCATAAATACTCCGTATCGTCCACTGATTACTTGACATAGTTATACAACGTGTTATGATACAAAGGATTGTGCGGTACCGCCACCCTAGCGTTCTGATTGCCTGCACATCGTCAACGACAGATTATATGCAGTCTGCTCCTTAATATATTTGTCTTCCAATGGCTGATGTACGCGCCTTACTACGAAACGAGCTTGCTTCGCGTGCACACACTGTTGGTAAATCTGGAAACAAAAGAAAGCTTGATTCAAACCCACCAGATATACGCAAAAAGCTGAAACCCACGGAGCATGCAGAACTATTGAAATCCGAAGCAACCGCACGATACCAGTTGTCCCATTCGCCTGAGGCTCACTCATTAAATACCATATCACCGCCGTCACAAGCCGAGACAGACTCTGCGCCCCCCGCAGAGGCAGCTACATCTAATTATTTGCCGCTAGCGTCACAATCGATTGACGAGGACGAATGGGCGGCTTTTGAACGAGACGTCGCTGCACCTACGAGAACAAAGCCCCCAGCAACACTAGCATTACAATCAAACGCAGTTATATCTGCCGCCCCAGTATCTGCAGCTGAACTGGCAGAGCGCGAACAAGAAGAACGTGATTCCAACAAAAAGGCCCGAGAGGCGGAACTAAATGGCGAGCGTGATGAGGCAACGCGATCTCTCGAAGAAGAGTTCGACGAAATGGAGCAACTGGATGAACGAGTGAAACGCTTAAAGGAGAAACGCGAGGAGATACTTAAACAAAAGCATGAAAGACTATCAAGAATTTCCATTAATTCGGAAAAACCCGATTTGAATAAAAGGACTGGTAGTGCATTGGAGAATGATGATGAACCGGTCAACAGGGAAGAAGATGACCTCGGGGAGGATGATGATGATGATGATGATTGGGATTGGCGCTTCAGATGAATGCATAAAACAAGGTTAGGTACCTATCAATGTTCTATACTGTAATCTGAAAAACTCCATGTTCACCAACATGCCGTAGTAAACCATAGGCTCACATTTCCTCTTTAGAATCCAATATGGTTTCTGAACTTTATAAAACCAAATTTTCAATCTATTTCTTCCTGATCATCATGGTTTGTTCCAATGGTCTCTTCATTTTCCCCTAGATGCCTCCTTAATCCAACCTTGCCAAATGCCATGGCTTTTTGGATCTCCTCATCACCATGGCGAAGCAGATGCTTTCCCTGTAAAAGTGCTTTCTGGTGCTTTTTCTTCTCTTCTTGCACTCTTGCCTCGCGGTTTGCAAGAGCGGCTTCTCGCCTTTGGCGTTGGTCGTCTGCGCTGTGCGTTCCTGTCTCGTCGGAGGAAATTTCAATTTCTGTTGGGCCGCTGGGAAGAGTCGAGATGTACGCCTGAATCAGGGGTTCCCGTATTTTCTGGGGTAGTGAGATGTAGCGAAGATCTGTTAAAATGGTAGAGTGAAGTGATTCTATCGATGAGGAGCGATTTAACTGTGATATTGAGACTGATTTAAGAAGAGCCGAGAGGTCTGATTTCCGAGCTGACTCCGAAAGCTTTAATCGTGAAATGTAATCACGATAGTATTTTTCTCGGTCTTTCTCCGCCATATTAGTGTCCTTCATCTGTGGTTCTTTTCGGTACTTGCGTTTGAACTCTGGCCAGAATAGTTTTGGAGAAGCATGTGCTTCTAGGAGGGCAAAGTATGGTATTCGTGGGTCCTTCTTTTCTTCTTTTTCTTTGCGTTTTTTGTGTTCTTGGATACGATCGCGACTCCAATTAGACCACACCTCTCGCCTCGATTTCATATTCGGCAGTACTGTATATCGAGTGTCATCAATGATTTTAGCCTCTTCAATAACCTTTTCCCAGGGCGTATATGGGTTTATCCGGTGATCATCTAGCAGATCACGAAAGAGAATGGCCATCTCTTCTTCAGTTAGAGCTAAATCTTCTTTGCCTTCAGCGTTATCCCCTCCGAGTTCGCCATATTCACCCGCATCCAGCCCGTAATCTTCACCCATTGCCGCCAATTGATACGCAATGTCATCTTCATTGAATTCTACTGGCTTATTCTGAGAATCCTCTGTTGCAGTTCGGACATTTTCTAGTTCCTCTTCTTCGTCAGTAACTTCAACTTCTTCGTACTCGTCACTACATGCTTCTTCGCGTTCTGACACACTATAATTCCCATACGAAGGCGCATTTGCCGGGCGATCGGTTTCGTTCGTCTGGATATCAACTACTTGACTTATACCTTCCTGTCCAATCCTTTCTCGGTTTTCTCTTTCCACTTGGTCATATTCCAGGACACCCTTCAGAATATTTGGCGGAAATTTCCAGAAGCTTTCTTGTGTATCTGGATTATGGACGAATCTCCGTCCAAGTTTTGTTTTGACCAGCACCCAGGGCTCACATCCTGGGATAGTACGTTTCGACTTCGGTCTATCGTGAAGATGTCTACTGTCAAAACGCCGGCCATCGCCTTTAGGGTGGTTTCGATGGATTTCAAAACTGGACTGCGTGCGAGAGGGCGCAACCCTATGGGTAGATTCGCGGAAAGAAGTTACAAAAGGGACTGGTGTAGAGGTAATATTTTCCTGCTCTGATTCTGGGGCGGAAGGTCTCTGATATGTCGATTGTTTTGTGCTTGAATTATAATAATATAGATGGCCTGGTTACACATTAGAGTAATGATTCCAAGAACCCACATGAAAACTTGCCTGATGGAGCCCTGTGTTCGGTCCATCCTAAAGGAAGGGGAGGTAACGGAGTATAAGTGGATTTCAGCATCTGCAGGTTAATGGCAAAATTTTCCCTAAAAACGCCGCCTTGCCTTCGATATGTCGTGGTTTGTCTTCAATGAGCCTAGCAGTGATGGGGTGGCGGTGATTGGCCCAAGCTCTCACAAGTGGACTGAACGCGTTAGGTTGGTTTACCTGGAGCTTTATCAAGCATCGACACACAATGCCCATCACCTAACACCCAGTTCTTTCATTCTTCGGCTAGTACTACATAGTTATAGAACTTTTGTGCACGATCATTTTTAAATATTCCACAATGGCGAGAAGATACGATTCGCGGGTCAGCTATCACGAATTCGACTTGACCTTGCATTTGCTAACCACCTCTAGACAACCATTTTCTCCCCCGAAGGCCGCCTCTATCAGGTAGAATATGCTTTGGAGGCCATCTCACATGCAGGGACAGCGCTGGGTGTTTTAGCGAAAGATGGGATAGTGCTTGCTGCCGAAAGGAAAGTCACCAGCAAACTCTTGGAACAAGACACATCAGCGGAGAAGCTCTACATATTGAATGAGTATGATGATATAATAACATGACCAGATTTTAGAGATTGCTGATAGAGATTTATAGCAATATGATATGCGCCGTCGCTGGAATGACCGCTGATGCAAATATTCTCATTAACTACGCCCGCCAAGCAGCGCAGCGATACCTCTTGACCTACAACGAAGAAATTCCTTGTGAACAACTCGTACGCAGACTATGTGATCTCAAGCAAGGGTACACTCAACACGGTGGGCTACGTCCATTCGGCGTTTCTTTTATATATGCCGGCTATGATTCTATGGGACAATTCCAGCTCTACCAAAGTAATCCAAGCGGCAACTATGGCGGTTGGAAAGCAACTAGTGTCGGCGCCAATAACGCAAGCGCACAAAGCTTATTGAAGCAAGATTACAAAGATGACTGTGATCTGAAGGAGGCATGCGGGATGGCCGTCAAAGTTCTCAGTAAGACCATGGATTCGACGAAATTAAGTAGCGAGAAAAGTAAGTTCACGGCAATACAAAAATATTATGAGACCCCAGAATACTGATTTTGTACTTGTCTATAGTCGAGATTGCTACGGTTGGCAGAACGAAAGACGGCAAAATCTACCACCATCTCTGGGGAGGCGATGAAATTGACTCTCTGTTAAAGGAACACGAGCTGGCTAAAGATGACGAGCAGCAAACTGCGTAGTAACTACGTCGTATGCCCCCGTAACAATGCTGAAAGGGTAGTGATGGTCTAAACATAGTCTTGTTCCTGTTCTATATGTATCTCCGACCAGCGTGCTTAGAGACCCTCCAATTTCTGCGCTCCAATCCTAGCCGCCTACTTCATAGCGTTGGGTTTGTTGATGTAACTCATAGCGGCTTACTTTAACTCTTGTAAATCCATAACTAGAAGCCTAGGATGAAGTGCGCGTGACGTGGCAGCTCTCGGGTGGGACCATTGGTCGAGTTTTCCGTCTGTTCTTCATCAGCACAAGACTTCTAATAGCAAAACAGCTAGCCGAACTTGTATTTGACAGTGAGAGTTCCTCACCTATATACATACATAAATACATAATAAAAGTATGTTATTGTGGAGGCAAAATGAGAAAATGTGTATCTTCGGTAATTATGTATGGGCAATCATATATATGAGCAAGCCCCGAGGTGGTTACCCTATATCCTAGAAGCCTCAGAGCCTCTAATGTTATCTGGAATAAATCCAGATATCTAGCGATTAACAGGCACACTAAGACGTCTACCCCTTTGATTTTGATGCTTAACTATGTTTGGCGGAGCTTTGCGGCACTACTCACCTTGAATTCGGCGTCAAGAAGTTAACTACATACTACAAATCTAGTTTTCTCAGATAGCGAACTAGTGGTAGCGGCGGAAATAGCTCAAAGCAGCCTATCATTATACTGCTTGGATGTTCAAGGGCAAGCCAGCCTTCTCTCTTGTGGTTTATTCAGTTGGCGGCGCTTGTTCAGCGCCAGCCAATAAAACTACTTAACTAGCTAAGCGCGTAGACGCGCTGCCGAGCTACAAGGTCCCGTGCCTCCTTATCCTCGGCGCCTGCGGATTCATAGTCACTTAGCCCCCAACCACTTGCTCCTCCGCTCTGAAACAACGACATGCAACAACAGTCGAATCGATGAAGTCGTGGGTGCTCTGGTCATTATACTTCTCCGACATCTGAGAAATCCTAATAACCTTCGAAAATCAAGCCGTCCGGAGCGAACAAATCGGAATGCCGCAATCCACCAAAATCCAGTAAAACTTGAAACAGTCCCATTGTCGGATTGCTACCTGTTTTACATTGAGCCCGGCGCTTAACAGCGACCAATCTTGAGCGGCATGAATATCCATTACTGAGCGTGATTGAAAAATTCATTGGCAGATATTGTATCTCGGCTTCCAATTGCTAAAACTACTATATATCCCTTGCATACTTCCCAGCACCACCCTGCACAACCCAGCCAAATTGAAAACTGCAGGGGGTTTGTCGACATGCAAAACCATAAACACGACTGTCCCGAAATTCCAGACAAAAGAAAGAAGAAACAGAGTCCAATCAATAATTAAGTTCGAGTACCAGAAAGAAACAACGGCGTCATCACAATTTGTGTTCCTCGAAGGAACCATCCCTTTCTCCAATCATCATCAACCTCGTTTATTGCCCAAGACTCCTTTGTTTCGCCAGGCGTTCGTTTTCGAGCTGCTTGATCTCCTGTTCCAGCTCTTTAACTATCACCAGTGACCGTTCTATCGATGCTTGGAGGACCCCCCCCTCGGCCCTCCATCGACGGATTCTCGCTATTTCGGTATCTCTTCTGCGATGCTTGATCGTAATTTTGTCGCACAACTTGCACGACGCCTGGATATTTTCGGTGTTATTGACGAGTCTCATACCGCATGTTTCACCCATGCGGAATTCGTGGTTGCATTTTGAAGCAAAGGCACCCCAAGACCAGTCGCCACAGGCAAATTTCTTCTGGTTATAGAAGCACATGATGTCCTAGCACGGTGAGCTTGGTGACGTTATACTGCAAGTTTGCCCCTCATACTCACCTTGTCTGTTTTGATAAACTTCGTGCTTGGTTTCAGCTTCAGGACACTGCTATTCGTCCACGAGTTGGCGTCTTCAACTGATAGGTTCAGCTCCTTTGCTCTCGGGAAATCCCGTCAGGGTGAGTATGGCAGCTTGACTTTGTCAAGCGGTACTGATGTCTTGTGATCGAGGCTCACTTGGCTCGATGCCTTAGGATTGTCTGGGTGTGGTCTTCTATCCTTCGCTTGTTGGGAAATCTCGCGATATTTATCTTTTTGTCTGACGGGCCAGGCTTGCTTCCATGCACGGCCTGTTCGTTTCTTCTCTGCTCCACATTTATACAGACCTCGTCCTTTTCCGGCTACTGTGGATGATCTCTCCGCCTCCTTTGCCGTTTCGCTTTCTAGGTTTGGGATGGTTCGTACATCACCAAGTGGGGTTATTTGTCGTCAGCCTGTCGTGATGTGCGAGTACCTTAATCCCCGATGCAGCTGAAACTGAATTCATATCAGGCAAGCATGGTAGTTCACTGTCGTGGCTCCATTGCTTGCCAATGTTTTTCCATCCTTTCCGTTAGCTGAGCTGATATGCCAGTTTTTCTCACCCCCCGGACTGTCTTCTCCGGACTCAATGTCCCTGTTTCTGCTTCCTATTGTCTCATAATACCTTGCCTCTTTGTTGTAATCGAGGCTTCCTGAGGTTCTACTCAACAATGATCAGCAACATAGCGTCCTTGACGAGACTATTCATTCGTGCCAGCTGGCTTTAATCCCTGAACCCAACTATGAACTAGACTGCCCCGTGAGTATCCTGGCTACTAATCCTTTGCTACACCGGGGTTGCTATGTATCCACTACCGTTCCTTGGAGTTGCTATCTGATGCTATAGGGACGGTGCTTTCGACTACCAACTCTGGATTGGTCGATGTCACCTTCCTAGAATCATTAAAACTCTCTTTTTCATTTCGTTTCTTGAAAATCGACCCTCTGATTTTCCCAATTGTGTGACCATTACACTGCGGGCCATTTATTCTGGCTTGGTGACCTACGCCCCCATGTTTCACCTCATAATTAGCTTTCCTCTGCTAATCCATGTATTTTCTGGCATGGGAAGTTGATACTGCGGCTTCAATAAGTTCCCGGAGAACTTTCCTTCCCACAGAAAGCTTCCAACCAACTAGTTTGTTCAGCTAGCAAAATACATCTGGGTGTGAGACCTGGCAGATGTCACATACCAGTGTTTCACAATATGTGAGCATTATTGTTTCCCTAATTGACTATTGCTCAGTTGAGGGTTCATTCTTATGATGCCGTGGCCCATTTACAAACCTTGCTCTTTTATTTACATACCTCGCCATCAAAAAAACTCGACTATGTTTTGAACAAACATTTTTTTTTCTTTTGAATGATGGCACCAATTCCTAGCTCTAAACTTAGGCTGTGCTAGGGTTTGGGGACATTCATGACGTGGCAGTCGCGCTTTCGCCACAATTATTATATTCACTGTCGTAGCGAAAGCTGAAGGGTTACTAGATGTGAATACCAGATACTTTGATAGGAATGGCAATCCTGTATGCCTAGACTCAAGCTCACAATTTCCCCCCTATTAACTCAACATATCTCAGGTCCAGTTCCCTGCATTTGGGCTCTCACCGCCTGGATCTGTGACTTCAGCGATTTTCTTTTTCTTTCTTTTTTTTTCAAAACTTCCATTATTGACGGGGTAATTAATGGCCAGGCGCCGGAAAACCTTCAACTTACCTTGGAACAAGATATCCGGTTATTGAAGCAAGTGCTGTTTTTCCTACCTTGATACGTTTGTATCCTTCTTTCACTTGGTACACTTACCTGAAAGGGCCGCTGGAAGATCTTTCGAAATAGGAATGTTCTTAGCCCAGTTCAGGGGTATAAATATTGAAATACTTCGTTTAATTTGTACCCAGACAGTTGGGTCTCAGTTACTCATGTGACTAAACTGAGGCATTGGCCCGGTCAAGCACTATATGATAACGAATCACGTCTTTGGAATGTTATTCAACTTTGCCATGTGGAATTCATGACAGGCTCAAAATCTTACATATATCCCGGCACGGTTGCATTAGTTCGCATTATGCAAAACGAATATTGCATCTGCACCTGATCCCAACTAGGGATCTTTAATGGAACACTCCCGCCGAGTTGTATGCCTCAGCATATGCAGCAATCTGCCGATCTCGAATCCTTGCTACTTCAGGTCTTGCCGCCGGAAGTTATCATTTTTAGACCTCATGTGCATCTGCTCATCCTCATTTTGAAACTCTTGTGCCTACATACATGTTGCCCTTCTCTTTATATTTCATTTGGGCATCTGTATGGACATGTATACTTGGATGAGCAAATAGATTTCGTGAGCTTACGTTAAGCTGCATTGGGGCCATAATGTGCGCTATAAGTGTTGCTTATTTTTTCCCGATAGCATATATATCAAGCTGTCTCTTGGCGCAATCTGTAGACATCCCGGTCTTGCTGACCAACATCTTGATTTTTCCAAATGAACTTTGCTGTAGAGTGATTTCGGGTAGATTCTGCACTTTGTCTGCGCTAATTGGACTGAGATATAGGAGTCTTGGTGCCTGATGTTTGCAAAAGGTCTGCTACTCTGTTCAACTTTTTTCCTGATTCAAATCTTATGATAATTGGCATGACTTTCCAGAAGTTCATACCATGCTTCCCTTTCCGATACATAGTGCTAGTTGCTATTTTGATAACCTCAGATAAATGAACTACGTATGACCTATCGTAGGCGAAGACTTAAGGGCCACATGGACTCCCTTCTTTTTCGCCAGAAGCGGATGCCACGATATCTAATTTACAATCTCGTGCCTTGAGACTTGTTGTGTACCAAAACCATACTTTGAGATCGGTTCTTGGTTTTGTCTTTTGTATGAGAATGGTACTGCCTTGAGATTTGATTGTCTTTCGGGTATATCTATATACATATATACTTCCAGTCTTTGATTTATCCTATGATTTGTATTTTGTTATCCTTGGACATGTGTCCATGAACGGTAGAGGAAGATATAGACAATCTTACCAAATGGTATGTAGAACTGAAGTCTGTCGGTGACGTCATAATGTAGCAGTTAAGCGCAAGCTACGTCATCATCGTCGCCATAAGTTTGATACAAAGTTAAGCTGAGAACCTTCCACCATGGTGCTCGTTCTGCATCAAGATATAACAGAGAGACAGAATGAGGTATTGATCCACGTATCTGACCGGTGTCTTCATTTGTATTTTTAGCTGCTGCTGCTGAACCTCGATACTGACAAGGGTCTTGATTGACAGGAATTATACTTCCAATTAATTTCAATCTATCTCAAAGAACACTCCCTAATTTTTTTTTCCAAATCGATGCCATGTCTGTATTCATGGCCACAGCAAAACGGGCTGGAGCTAGGACTCTCAATGCCACACAGAACACACGGATCGCCATTTCATCACTTTCGTCCACGGCAACGAACTTGCCTTGTACGGAGGCAGGTGCAAAACTAACTACCGTACCTATCCTTAGCCGTAACCTCTCTAACAGCACCCAACTAAACACATACGTTGATGAGCACGATCCCGAGAGCCGGTTTGCGATAAATACTGAGCGTAACGAATACTCGAAATCAGGTACAGATAACGCTGTCGCCGCACAAGATTCTGCATGGGATCTGAAGAATCACACGCCAGAACAGGCAAAAGAGAAGTCCGAAGTGGAGTCAGCACAGAATGGAAGAAATAAGGCAAGCCCATTGGAGGTCAGTCCCGCCAACCAAGAAGTATCGAAATTTACAGATGAAACTGGGCGTGGCGCTTTTATTATGCATGGCCCAAGTAAAAGAATATCGCCGAAGAAGGGTAAGAGGGTGGACTATGGAGGCGGGGAAATTATTGAGGAAGACAACAACCACGAGGCTACGAAGATGTAAAACGACTCTTCCATTTACTACAATGGGTAGCTGAATAGATGAGGCATCGAGATCAGCCAATATGCACAGAGGATAGGACCGATAGGTATATTTAGGTTGGAGGATATCAAAGAATTTTTTATTGCAGAAATAGCAGAAGCAGGACAATTTTCTATACCCCAAGAACAAAACGCTTATTACTTAAAGTACCGAGATTTTATTTCACTGCTGTTCAGACAAGTGGAAACAACGGTTGCTGATGTTGGTTCTCTGGTATGATGCCTTACTAATACGTTACGTAACCTGACCATAAACCGGCAGATAGTCATATGAGGTAATCAGTAACTTTCTATGGATTAAGGATGGTCCGGCCCCGAAGCACGCAATTGATGTTCCTGATAAGCAAAGAATTGCGTGATTATGCACTTGGATGCCGAAACGGGAACACTGTAGGCTGATACCGAGAGCTAGGCTGTGAAGATGGCATTCTCCGCGCTTGAAGTGCCAGTACAAGATGGAGTTTTTACTCGGCTCCGTCTGTTCTTTTTTCTTTCTTCCTTTTGTTTTTGCTGTTGCTTCTCCGCGCGCTTCCTTACCACTACTGTTGATAAGGCCAGGGGCTACTACTTCTCCTTATTATCTTTTTTCGCATTAGCAGCAGTTTACCGGCTGCTACTTCAACAAAATGAAGTCCATGGAACCATCCTCAGGAGCAACACCTGAGCAACTCATTCATGAGATTTCCACTACTCAAGCAGTCTCGTTGACTCTACCTTTCGGTCGCGCCGTTTCATTTTCTTCAATCGGCGGGCCAAATTATTCCACCGCGCAAACTCTTGTACAGCATGTAGCCTACGCTCTGTCGGACAAACTGTTTGCCTACTCCCCGGCTTCTTTCGACCTTGATGTGGCTGTGAAATTTTGGTTCGCCCAGTCTGAGAGCAATGTAAACGGATACCCGACCACCATACAGTCTCTGCAAACACGACAAGGGGCTGGGGCAATTGCATTGGGCTATATATTCTCCAAAGATTTCGATCTTAAAAAACGCCATATCCCTCAATCTATTCTTGCTTCATCAGCTACTTTACAATATATGAGACCTACATTAGAACAGCTCTCGCTGCTCTATTCGGTTTCAAACCCTCTAGTTGCCCATATTGCAGCCGCTGACTACATTGGTGGCACACATGGGGGCCTTGTTTCGGACTACACTACGGCCCTAGGACTATGCGAGGAGTTGGGGATGGCTCTTGTGGCAAGCCACTCGACCCATGAAGCTCAGCATATGGCGCTTTTCTCGACACTTCTTGCTACATATCTTCCAGCAATCCACATCTACGACGGGATTCGTATTGGTAGGGAAACCACTAGGGTGATTGACACACTTGATGTGCTTGGGCTTCACAAAACATACCAGTCAATCCTAGATGTGATGTCTGGCCCTGAAGAAAAGCACATGAATGTGCAAGGTAAAGCATTGCGCCTTTTAAACGCTTTCAACAGCGAGCTTGGCACCAGCTATCGACCTTTTGAATATCACGGCCACCCCGAGGCTATATCTGTTCTTGTGACCTTTGGCTCTGTGGAATCCTCCTTGGCACAACAGGTCGCCATTATCCTTGCCGAGCAAAACAACCGCATTGGCGTTGTGAATGTGCGCATATACCGCCCATTTATCGAAGAGGACTTCATCGCGGTACTACCAAAATCAACTCGCGTTGTTGGAGTCCTCGGGCAGGTTCAAAATGATTTGGCAGTTCTAGAAGATGGCGTTCATGCCGCACTCTACGAAGATGTTTTAGCATCCTTGACATTTAGCACTGAAATTATAACCCCGAAATGCGTTGACATTAAATACTCTCCCTCTCATAATTGGAGCATTTCAAAAATGGCCTCAACTTTTCAGAAAATTATTGATCTCCCTCTCCTGAATTCTGGGGAGGCTGAGATTTTACGCCACATTCCTTTGCTCGACTCTTCCGTTCAGCAGTATACCTTTTGGGGGTTAGATACCTCTTTAGCCAATGCTGCTGCGCTCGAATTTAGTCAAGTACTCGCTAAAGACTCCATTTGCAATGTGACAGCCCATGTTTCGTATGATAATTTGATTCAGGGAGGTATTGTTCGGGCAGATATACGAAAATCTCCCAAAGTTATTAATGCACTATTTTCTATTAGCTCTGCGAATGTCTCCTACGTTAATGATTTTGCAATCTTATCCGCGGTTGACGTTGTATCAGGAATTAAAGTTGGGGGACGTTTGATTGTCAACGCTCCCAGCCTCAAAGACGAAGAGTTGGAACAGAAGCTACCTGGCGCCTTTAAAGCTGCAATTGCACAGAGGTCGATTGAGTTGTACATTCTCAACCCATTGGATCATCAAAATACCTTCCCTGATCCCTTAATTGTTCAAGCAGCCTTCCTTCGTATTGCACTTCCTGGCCTAGAACAAGTGGGCTTGGAGAAGTTAGGCCTTCTCTATGGGCCTAAGGCCAATATCGAAGGAATTTTTGCTGGTATTGAAAGCGTTCTCCGAAAGGTCGAGATACCAGAATCGTGGAAGGCTGCTAAAGGTCTCGAGGTTGAGGTAGGAGACCTTCCGTCCAGCATTCGAGAAACAAGTTTCACATTGTTCGACAAGACCGAGCCTGAACACTCGTTTAAACTTGAGGATTGGCAGACACTCGCAAAAAGCCTTGCGTTCAAAGAAGCTTATGGAACCACAAATGCATTACGCCCGGACCTTTCAACCAGGACATTCACGATAACCGTCCAAGAAAACCGGAGACTCACACCTCTTACTTATAACAGAAATATTTTTCACATCGAGTTCGACCTTGGTGATTCGGGGTTGAAATATGACATTGGAGAGGCACTTGGGATTCATGCTGAAAACAACCCTGAACATGTGAATGACTTTATCAAATACTACGGTCTGAACCCTGAAGAAATTGTACATGTTCCATCTCGGGAAGATCCAGATGCATTGGAAAGTCGCACAGTGTATCAGGCCCTTACATATAATGTTGATATTTTTGGGAAGCCACCCAAGCGCTTTTACGAATCCTTGGCCGAATTTGCTACCGATACAAAACAGAAACAACAGCTTCTCAAACTGGGTAGTGCTGACGGTGCAGAAGAGTTCAAGCAGAGGTCTGAGGTAGACACTGTTACCTATGCTGATATCTTCGAAGAATTCCCATCTGCTCACCCTTCCTTGCATGATCTCATTAAGATTGTTAATCCCATGAAACGGCGAGAGTATTCCATTGCCTCCTGTCAAAAGGTCACGCCTACTTCTGTTGCTTTGATGATCGTTGTCGTGGATTGGATTGATCCGCGGGGTAGAGCGCGGTACGGTCAAGCGTCCCATTATCTCAGTAAATTACAGCCTGGCGCGACACTCACGGTCAGTGTCAAGCCAAGTGTGATGAAACTTCCGCCCAAATCTACGCAGCCAATTATCATGGCTGGTCTTGGTACTGGTCTCGCTCCGTTCCGAGCATTTGTTCAGCATCGTGCACTCGAGAAGGCACAAGGGAAAGAAATCGGCTCCGTGCTTCTCTACATGGGTTCTCGTCACCAGAGAGAAGAATACTGTTATGGTGAAGAGTGGGAGGCCTATCAGGCCGCCGGAGTTATCACGCTGCTTGGACGGGCTTTCTCCCGTGATCAACCAAATAAGATTTACATCCAAGATCGGATGCGCGAGAATTTGCCAGATATTGCCAAGGCCTACCTCCAGGAAGAGGGCGCCTTTTACCTCTGTGGCCCAACATGGCCAGTGCCTGATGTTACAAATGTTTTAGAGGATGCCATCTCTTTGAATGCGAAGGAACAGGGGAAACAGGTCGATTCAAGGAAAGTGATCGAAAAGCTCAAGGACGAGTTTAGATACGTCCTTGAGGTTTACTAAAGGAGCACCTAAGGGAATTATAGATAGAAGTGATTAGACTGTCGAAGCAATCAGCTATGGTTTCTGCTTTTGATAACCTGAATGTCATTTGAAATAAAGATAGAAACATGTATGGAAATCCAGGTCATTTTCAACGCGTAATCTATTAGGGCCGTCAAATATGCTAAATTGGAATGTAAACATACCTCTACCTCTTGATCTAGTTGCAAGCCAAAAGGTAACGCAAAAGCAAGTCCTTCCTGTACGAGAAACGCTATTTAAATGGCCCTCTAGACATCATACACGACTCCTTTTGTTTTCCCGTACGCACCTCCTTTTGCTTTTCTCAACTCCAATGCCCTTTTGTAGGGAGGGGCCGTTGGTGGTTGCACAGGATCAAGGCTAACATGATCCGGCGGGAGTTCGTACGAAGCGTCAGCATCCCAAGCTGATAAATCCCCGCACGCAATAAAGGGTGGAATCCACCTCATGCCATCCATCTCTGAAGTACCCAGGGCGGTCGGAACGTCGGATCTCGCGCCACCACCAAAGATTGGGTTATCAAGGCCCATTCTCGATTCTCCACTCTTTTCATCTACTGGTGGCATAAACCCTTCGCATACGACGAATGCCTCCAGGCTACTCGCACGACTGCTGCGGGGCTTCGCCACAGAAACACTCTCGAATACCGATTTGAGCTGTGCATATATTAGATCGACGTCTCGCCCGCGGAATATTTTGGCCACAAACTTTCCACCCGGACGCAGTACGCCTATAGCCAGGTTTAGGGCGGCGTAAAGGAGTTGTGACTGGATGTAGATGTCTAAATCATGGAGCCCAGTGACGTCTGGAGCGCCATCGGAGAGAACAAGGTCGACAGGGTGAGGATGCGGCCGTAATGGAGACGGATGCTGTAAATTTTCGTTTTCAATATCTGTATATAGGTCCGGATCTAGTGCTTTCAGAAGCAGCGGGATCGTCGACGGGTGTGTGATGTCTGCTTTGAGAGTTGTTATGCCCTCCAGGGGAGCCATGGGCTGCAGGTCAATCGCAACGACGCGGACATTTTTGCGCGGCTTGAGGGCGGCTACCTCCTCCTCCTCCTCCTCCTCCTCCTCCTCCTCTTCTTCTTCCTCGTCTGCTTTGTCTTTTTGCTGTTCACATCGGTTCAGTGCCTTTATTTGCTGTTTTCTCTTTGCTTCCCAGGCTCTTCGTCCAAAGGCCTCACCACGGATCAGCACTCGGCTAAGAACTTGGCTCCAGCTTCCAGGCGCCGCACATAAATCCACTACTCGTGTCACGCTATCTGGATCTGAATGCGCGAAAAGGTCGAACTGCTCGTCAATCTGAATCAGCTTAAATGCTGAGCGCGCACGCCAGTTTTGCTCTTTTGCCAGGCGGTAGTAAGCATCGCGTTTGTCTTTTGAAGATTTGCCCATCGTCAACGTATTAAGATGATACCTTCATCGGTAGTGGGAGTTAAAAGGTGGGTGGTAACAAATTGCATTATGTATCAGATCTCGATGGTCGACGCCAAAAGCCGACATGTGAACTTAAAAATTTATTCTCAACCACTTTCTCACGGGCATAGTTAACTCAGCTCCCGCAATAGCAAAAGCAGGCAAGGCCCTGAATTTGACGACTAACATGGCACCCAAGCGCTCTCATAGGGCTAGAGATGCCTGCGCTACGGCGAATAAACGGCGCAAAGTCGTGGGAAGCGAGACCCAAGACATTTTGGATATCGACCAGCTGGACTGGAAAACAGTGACACTACCCGACAGGCTGGATGATGCTGAGGGATTCTACTCTTTGGAAGAAATTGAGGGCGTTGATATCGTCAGGCCTTCTGGGAATGGAGAGATCAGCTTCAAGGTGTGCCACCTCCAGCATCAATGCAATCCATTCTCTAATTGATTTTGTATTCCAGGCCCCCACGGAAAAGATAAAGGGCATCCTTAAGAACTCAACTGCGGACTCAGATGACAGCAATTGGGAAGTTTGGGATGGATTTAGCGATGGCGCGCCACATGAAGCTACATTTGAGCAAGTGGAATCTAAGAAGCCAGATGTAAAAAAGGCAAACAAGGGTAGATTAGCTGGAAAGAAGCCAGAGAATGGAAAATCGAAACGAGGCGAGATTCCCGATTCAATAGAAAACAGGGTTGAACCAGAACTTTCCTTTGCGGCTCTTGAGGACGAAAGTGAGGAAGACATGGATGTTTCTGCATGGGACGCTTTGCGCCTTCGCGCTGAACTACAGACGAGTCTTGCAAAGCTGAAGTTCTCTACTCCAACGCCTATTCAAACTGCATGCATTCCAGCTATTATACAAGGTCATGATGTAATAGGCAAGGCCTCTACGGGCTCCGGGAAGACGCTTGCCTTCGGCATTCCAATACTTGAACATTACCTGAAAACCTATACTAACGAGAAAGTGGGCTCTTCCTCCTCGAGAATCAGAGAAAAGATCCCTTTGGCATTAATACTTTCGCCTACGCGGGAGCTTGCGCACCAACTTAATAAACATTTTATAGATTTGATCAGCTATGCTCCACACACTCATGCTAGGATCGCCACCGTGACTGGTGGACTTTCTGTTTACAAACAGCAGCGCTTGCTAGCAGACGCTGATATCATTATTGCTACACCTGGCCGTCTTTGGGAAGTTGTTGGGTCTCTACCCGGGTTTCTCACCAAATTGAAAAAGATCAAATTTCTTGTTATAGACGAGGCGGACAGGTTGTTGAGCGCGGGTCATTTTAAAGAAATGGAAGAAATTCTTAATGCGATTGACAGAGTAGAGGAGACTGAAGAGGGCTATGCGGATAATTCGGAGAATGAATCACCGCAACAAACCGGCCACCAGCAACGGCAGACTCTCGTTTTTTCCGCTACGTTCCATAAAACACTGCAACAAAAGCTTTCGGGGAAGGCTCAGTATGGAAATGATGACTTGCTCAATAAAACACAGTCCATGGATTATCTACTTCGAAAATTGAATTTTAGAGAGGAGCGTCCAAAGTTTATCGATGTTAATCCCATATCTCAGATGGCAGAAAATTTGAAAGAAGGGTTGGTTCAGTGTGCACCCATGGATAAGGTACCTTTCCTTTTTTTAAAGAGATCGCTTAAACTGCTGCTAACGAGCTTTGGCCAGGATTTATTTCTTTACGCCCTGCTCCTTTACCACCCAAAGCACCGCACTCTAATTTTTACGAACTCCATTTCCGCTGTCCGTCGAATAACGCGGTTTCTTCAAAACCTTGACCTTCCAACATTTGCGTTGCATTCCGCAATGACCCAAAAAGCACGTCTCCGTTCCGTTGAACGGTTTTCTTCCCCTTCTGAAGCTTCCTCTTGCCTTGTCGCCACGGACGTTGCTGCACGCGGACTCGACATCAAAGGAATAGATCTTATCATCCATTATCACGTACCCAGAACCGCCGATGCGTACGTTCATCGGTCTGGCCGCACCGCCCGCGCTTCTGCATCTGGAAAGTCAATTTTAATATGTGCACCAGAGGAGACAACCGGTGTTGCTAGATTGGCCGCCAAAATACATTCCAAAGTCAGCCAGGGTGCCAAAGTCACTGGTAAGAAATCACTTTTGCAAGTAATTGACCTAGATCGCCGGATCGTGGATCGACTGCGTCCCCGGGTCACTCTCTCCAAACAAATTGCCGAATCGATCCTAGCTAAGGAGAAACTTTCATCCGAGGACGACTGGCTGCGTTCCGCAGCGGACGATCTCGGGGTGGACTATGATAGTGCTGAATTTGCAGAACAGGGGGCCAAAGGGAAAGGCCGTGGCCGTGGTGGCGGCAGACAAGCACGAGAACAAAAAGCGGCCAGCTTATCCAAGGCTGAGATGGCAGGGCTAAGGGCACAATTGAAAGATTTGCTGGCTAAAAAAGTAAACGTGGGGATTTCCGAAAAATATCTGACCGCCGGGCGAGTTGATGTGGACGCGTTGTTAAGAGGTGAAGGTAATCATGCATTTCTGGGACATATGGATACATTGTCCTTTTAACTTCTGTGCGTCAAAACATGCCATATTTTCGGAAATCGGAAACTGGATCGGATCAACACTTACATAGCAACACACCCGTCGTTTGTCAGATGTGGTACTTGCTTACCTGTCGCCCCAGAGGATGACTCTAAGCACCCCAATCCCCAACCTCCAGCATATAGAGACCCAGTCAATCTAGTGACTTCTAGGGCGCATAAACTCTCAAGCTTGAAATCCGGTTGGGCAGGGCTCTCGCCTTCAAATGATCCAATCATCTACTTTCTCTCTTCTTGCTCGTCTCCTCGATTCTCTCTCTGCCGCCCTTCCAGTTCTTGGTGCTTGTAAGGCGATACCCTGTGTCGAATACTCGACGCTTGCGCTCCGAAAGATATTCTTAGGATACCTGCACACAATCCTGTACAAACCTTCGCCGCAGACTTATAGCGAGATTGGTACCAATAGCAATCACATTAAGCCTCTACCTAATCTTTGGGGTAAATATATGTACGTATATCTGTGCATACATACGTTCTACCACAGCTGTATCTCAAAGGTGCTTATCAAAAGACGAGAGCCTAAAAATTATAGTGCAGGAGCCATTAAGCTACATACTCAAACATAAATAACGCCTTGATAGAATTTATGGGAAAAAAAAGGAGCTTGGGAACAACCTGTCAGATTTAAGATAACTATGCTTTACCTTTTGTGTAAAACAAGGGGTAAGCAGGCACATAAATCTTTCTCTAGATCTGAGATATGCGGCAGCTTTTTAGAAGTTCTGTATCTGACTGTACGTCAGGAGACACTTCCCGCTTGTGGAAGGTCGACAGTATAACCGCGTTATGTGTGCCGTAGAGTGTTGGTTGGATCAGCGCCCGGGCGATTTCTACGAGAATTGATACCGTGGCATACCAAATTATGTCGCAGATTTTGCCAAGGCCCAAAGTACATCAGGGTATGAGAGAGGGCGGTGCGATTGAATGGTTGGTAAGAATACATATACATAGCAGCTGCACTTTCAATCTATGTATATGCATACTGCAGAGCTAGAAAATCAAAAGTTCTTCATCTAATACATCGTGAAAAAAGGAGAGAGTAAGCGCGGTAGCCATTGAGCATAGAAACATCGTGGGCAGGCTAACTTCCAAAGCAAAGTGATAAAGCCATTTTTGGATGCAAGTCATTAATTTTCTCTCCTCTAATACCCGAGATGTTTTGAGAGGCTGGTATGTATGGAAGCTGATCGATGTTCTTAATCACGAGGGACGGGGGTGCCTATATCGGGCTTTAAGATGTTTAGACAGGAGCAGTCCCATCTGTCCGAACACCCCTTCTTCATCCTAGGTTATATCAGTATGATGTCAAAGAGATGGTGGATGGCGCTCAAAGTTTACACTTGATAGCACTGTCGTCTCGCTTTCCCGAACTCTCTAAGACAAGCAAAAGGGATACCCTTAACGCATCGCTTGCATTTTTTCTGCCGCAGCAGGCAAGCTCTCTCCCAGGGTACATGGGTCACTGAGCGTTTTTTACCCAAACCTTTAGCATTTTCAGCATCAATGTCTATTTTGGCCAAATAAGCAGTGATGTTTGAAGAAATATCGGTATTAAGAACAGTTGAATCACTATCTTCTGTGGAGGTAGTAACTGTGGGCCAAGTGCTTTCATTTGTTGCTGAAATTGTGGTATTTACGGAGCCGACCCCGGGTAATACTATGCCTCTGAATAGACTGGCCGAGGCGAACGCGGATGCGCCGGCGATAGCGGAACCGTTAGTCTCACGCGTCTTCGTAATGGATGTACCACTAGTTATCGTAGGTGCGCCGGTTGGCATTGCTGGAATGGGTGATGCGATAACGACAGAAAATGCAGCAGCGAGATAAACTATGGAGAGCATTGCGGAATGAAATATCAGTGGGTGTCGCGTAACAATATCAAATAGCCAGGATTTAGCAAGCGGTCTTCATGTTGAAAACGAATGATGACTTTGTCTAGCATCGTTGTTTCTCGTTGAAAGAGAGGGTGCTGGAGGTCGTCGCTCCGCGCGATGGCAGCTGCAGCCTGGCTGATAGAAAGAGAGGCTACAGTATCCAGCAAGAGCAACAATATCCAGCAAGAAAAGCTTCATAGATTTATATCAAGACTTTGGGCAAGCCAAAGGCATGTTACAGGCCCGTCATGTCATAGAAGGGCCGATTCGTAGTGGCATGGTTTCGATATCTTGCCATCCATCAGATCAATGCACCTGGGTATCGAAAGCATTGTAAGGTATTGATAGACGAAATCCCTGTACAAACCACAAGTCAGTAAGGAAACAGTGCGGATCGCCAGGCTGAATTACCGAGCGTTCATCTTCACTGTGAGCTCGTTTAAAATATATGAAGCAGTCTGGACCTCCAGCCGGAAAGGCAGTCGGAGACGGGACAACGATCTTCCTGAATCGCCAAGTAGTTAAGTTACTACAAAACCTCACTATACGGAGTATCCATCCTGGCTTCTCAAACCTTTTTGTTCATCAGCTCATTGACTATGCTTTTGCGCCGGAAGATATCATATGGGTGCATATTGTTGCTGATCCAGATTTAGAATTTCATACATGCAATATTACTCTTCAAACCGTGTTTTCTTGGGGTTTCTCGAAACGAGCTCCCCCTTAACTAGTGTTGATGTCTTGTTGACGCTTCGGCAGGCAAAAGCTTGCTTGGAGAAGAGCTGAAGGGGAAATACTACTACTGAACGGCGATAACGAACGGTTTCAACAGGAAAAGCGAACTTGACTAGCATCCAAAATACCCGCTGGTTTTATAATTGACTTGGGAATCCCTTCATTCATATCTTCGTCGAAACATCCACATGAATGCACGCAAAGAAGTTATACCTAGTGAAAATTATGACTCCGTATTGAAATTTTGAAGGTACTGAAGCGAGGTATTGATCGTTGACATACCATAATGTTATTTCGTTATTGCAGTACATTCCAATTTCAAAGCCTCGTAAAAAGAAACAAAAACCCTATATTTCTCTCAAGGCTATTCCAGCCGCATAATCTGGCTTCCAGTTTCTATCTCCAAGTATAAAAATTTCTCAGTCGCTCATAGTGCTAGGCCGGTTCCTAAGCTCTCTCGCAGTAATTCTCAGCTCTTTGCCTGTTGCCTTGTTACCGCTGTTGCCACTCGAACGTTCCGACCATCTCGTAGCATTGTCCAATGCAATGGGCCTCACCGCGTCCGTACGGTGAATATAGCCATGTCGATGGGGCCTAGGAGTACTGCCAAAGCACATGGTGGCTCGATTCTAAGAGTTTTATGTCAAATTTCAGAGTATTGATCCCTTTTTGGGATATAATTAGGCAGCTGCTCCACATATTAGCTGGCGTGTTTATGCAACGGCAACACCAACAAACAGTCTTCGCTCTTGTATACGTTCGATATTGGGGGGTTTTTTGGGTTGTGACATACTAATCGAATATGAAATTGGCAGGGGCACAAGCAGTCCGAGATGCCAGGTGAATTATTTATTGATTATCAATGCATAAGGAATGATATTAAAAAGGAAAGAGAACGTAGCTAGAGCGTTGGGGCTATCACTATTGTACAGATAGTGATTTGCCACAAAAGGTTACTACAGAGGCAACATGGGCAAGTTATTGGAGGTGGCGAAGAAGTAGCTTCATGTGCGGCAAAATTTGGGATTAGTAGTATTCGATGTTATGCAGCTTCCTTTATATTCGAAGACTCCAAGAGTTGTCAAATAACATGAAGCCTGGATACCCGAACTGAGTTTTTTAGCTGGCGATGACCGCCTAGTAGGGAATAAACACCATATGGCTAAAAAAACATAAAAAAACCGAATGACCCATATGCAGACTGCCGATAGAGCCACGAAAAGATGAACCAAATATGAAGTCAAAATAGAATATTGCCCGTGCAAGCGTACAAATGCTGAAAGGTAGTTTAAACTTCCTTCCTGGAGAAATCTGTAAGTAAACTTTTACACAAGGAGCAATCAAAACGCGAAGTGCTGTGCTTACCAAGTTAGCCCTGAAGCCTCAACAGAGGGTGTTGGTATTGCATTCCTGTCACCGAAAGGATTGTTTTCATCATCATCTTCCTCGTCGCTCGCAGACTCTTCACTTGCAGTCTCGTAGTGCCTTTGCTTCTCGGGTTGACTGTTGGTTTTGGGAATAGGACTAGGAAGACTCGTCGGCCTTTGTGGCCGTGATGGTTTTGTGGGGCTATCTAAAACTAAACCGGCGAAAGAGCCTGTGACATTTCTCTCAAGGGGTCGCCGAAGATCATCAATGGACAGGTCATCCTCACTGTCACTATCATCATCGACGCTTTTGTCAAGAACTTCAAATGCCATCAACGCATTGACTAACTCTTCATTCGCATGTATCAAACTGCCGAGGAAATCGTCACTCTCAACCACCTGAATATAGCGAAGTATTTGATGCCTGAGAGACTTGCAGCGCTCAAATTTCTCCATCACCTCGGGGTTCTCGCTAACACGTTGTGTCTCACGATTGACAAATTTCAGAGCGTTAGTCAGATTAGTACTTGCCACTGAGGCGGAGGCGATTGTCTGCAATATCTCTGGTCGTTCTTTTTCTAGATTGAACGCAGTTCTTCGATTCCGTTTTTTGTCCTTGGGTTTCCCGGACATGTTTGGAAAGGGAGGCATGGATGATTTGCGACCTGTTGGGGAACCTAGAGCCGTAGACGGGCCTTCTCCAGTGGATATGGATACTGAGTGACCTATTGGCTGTTCTCCACCTGCCTCGGTCTCTTTCAAAACATGGGATTGCTGTGGACGAAGTCGCCTTTTTCGTGTGGGTAGTTGCTTATAGAGAAGAGCTACTCTCTCCATTCCAGGTGTTTTCCCATGTAACACGGCCCACTGTGGAAATAGTTGCTTACATTTTTCTCGTACTTCTGAATCTGAAACAGAATCCGTAGCGGCAACTCGCAGCCTTTCAAGAAGCGGCTCATCTGCAAAGCCTTTGAGAAATCTGTCGCCAGCATTTTGGATTAGAAAGTCAAGAATGGTAAGAGCGCGCAGCTGACGGTGAACGCTCCCATATTTTCTGCGGGAATTTAAAGTAAGTTACCAGTTTAATGTTAACGGACCACTTTTACGTACAGCTTTTTGCGAAGAGCACGGCTGGCCTCTTGTGGTCCACTGCTTTGCAGTCTGATGACCTCGATTAAATCCACAATACCGCTCGAGTCATCGACGTCATAGCTTTCACTAGTTAGTCGGTCAATTTGAACAGTCACCGCCGTGAAAGGTTTTTTCTATCCATGCATGGTTAGACTGTAGATCTTGCAGATATAGCGCTAAGTCAAATGAATCAATAAGTCGGAACACACAAAGCACACCCCACAACCAAGCGCTTTCCTGCAGAAAAATATGGTAGGCTTGCATACAGGTTGTCACTAGAGTTGGGCCATGTTATAATATCAAACCCCAGATATTTCAAAACGGCCAAAAAAAGTGGACTGTAGTAAAAGAGTCATACCGATGTTGAGAACATTGTAACACGTATCCACAAAGGCAATAGAGCTAAAATCAAGTCCAATAGGTGTGCGTGATGCGGCCAGAAACCTGAGACCAAAGGATGTTTCACGAGTATTTGTACTTTCAAGGTCCTCTCATCCTGAACTTATCGACAGTGTTTCATAAGCAATCAACTTTTGAGTACAGTAGTAGAGGGCTCCGCGTTTTATACAAATTCTGCCAGTATTCAAATAAAAAGATAGATCTGTAAGTCACTGAGCAGAAACTTGGGTAAGTTTCCAGTTGTCAAACGGAACAATCCTTAAAATTGATGTAATGGTGCGGGGTAAACGGCAGGTATCGTTGATAATGTGGACTCGTGGCAAAGATGCAGCCAGCAGCAGTAAGAATTATGAACAATGCGGAACCGCTCTTGTCATCGATCGCCTCTATGCTGATACCGCTGTTGAGTGATATCAACAACCAAAAATCAATGGGTGGCCGTTGACCGGCCGCACATGACGTCTTTATCACGTGATCATGGCCAACCAATATAACTTGTTGCAGCTAGCCCCTTGTGTGGAAAGGTGGGGTTTAGGGCTGTAGTTGGATTAGTGGGACGACGTGCCTGGACCCGGGCGGTTAGCTAAGCAGCCCGGGCCGGTTCGGGGCGCCGGTGTAGGGATTCTCCGCTATTTGATGGGCAGCCGAGCAGCCCGAGACCTCCCTGCAATGTCACAGTAAATCGGTCCTGTCCCTGCATGTGCAGCCGATGAAACGCGCAATTACCACCCGTCAAGGATACATATTTAACATCTGCTGATCCCCCAGATTCTACCTTACTGCATTCTTGCTTCGTGTGCTCATTGTGGCGTTGACTCTGCCTGCTCGTCTTCGAAGCGTCGTGTTGCTGCCTTCTACCTCACGTTATTTTTCAATTTCACCATTTAGCCTCAACAAAATGTCTTATGAAAAAGAGTTGTTGGTGGCACAGCTTGCCGTGCAGAGAGCCTCTATTTTAACACAGAAGGTGTTCCACGAGAAAGCCAAAGGAACACTATCGAAAGATGATTTCTCCCCCGTTACAAAGGGAGATTTCGGTGCCCAGGCTTTGATTATCCAGGCTATACGTGCAAATTTCCCGGAAGATGAGATTGTGGCAGAAGAGGAGGCAAGTTCCCTTCGTGAGAACGAGGGTCTGAAAAACGAAATGTGGAATCTTGTCAGAGATATCAAACTGGATGACAAGGAGAGCGATCGAATCATTGGTGGCCCCTTAAAAGATGAAAATGAAATGCTTGAGGCACTTGACGGTGGCCAGAGCCCAGGAGGACCAACAGGCAGAATATGGGCCTTGGACCCCATTGACGGAACGAAGGGTTTCCTTCGGGGGGGACAGTATGCTGTATGTCTCGGTTTGATTGAGAACGGTGACGTTAAAGTTGGCGTGATTGGATGTCCCAACCTTCCCCTGTCCGACTCTGCACCACTCTCGGCGGAAATTGGCCAATCTGGCTCTGCTGGTTCAGAGACCGGTGTTCTTTTCTCCGCAGTTAGAGGTCAGGGAGCTACCAGTCGCCCGCTCTCTCAGGGCGGACTCCAGGAGGGTAAACCAATCTCCATGAAGCCAGTCAAAGATATTACCCAGGCCTGCTTCTGTGAGGGAGTGGAGGCCGGCCACTCTGCTCAAGATGACAATGCAGAAGTGGCCAGGCGACTTGGGATTACTGGGCCTAGTGTACGGTTGGATTCTCAAGCCAAATATTGTTCCATTGCTCGCGGCGCTGGCGATATTTACCTCAGATTACCTGTCCGCGCTGACTATGACGAGAAAATTTGGGATCACGCCGCTGGTGACTTGATCGTGAGGGAGGCTGGTGGTGAAGTTACCGATATCACTGGTAAACGATTGGACTTCACCAAGGGAAGGAAATTGATAGCCAACAAAGGTGTCGTGGCAGCCCCGCAGTCAATTTTCGGGCAAGTCATCGACGCTGTTCGTGCCGTATATGCTGCCAAAATCTGATAGACAAAAACAAGATAGAATCTCAATTGGCCTTGTAGTATACAATGAAATAGAAAATTGTTGGGTTATAAAGAAACCGTACATACCAGCACCTGAATATTCATGTACGTAAATGCAAACAGCCAAAAAATTTAAAGATACCTGGAGAAACTATCATTTGATCTTCTTCGCCTTTAACTTTATGGTCTCCCCATTCACGAAAATGCCCTTTCCCTTATAAGGCTCTGGAGGTCTCCACTTCCTAATGTTTGCTGCGAATTGCGTAACAACTTCTTTGTCAACCCCTTCCAGCAGAATTGTGGTTGGCTGCGGAGTGCTGGCCTTGACGCCTTGTGGAATCCCTAGTTCAACTGGATGTGCAAAGCCGACTTTCAAAGAGACAAATTGCTGGCCTGGAAATTCAGGGGAGACAGTAATGGCTGTTGGCTCGATAATCGCCCTGAAGCCAACACCAACTAGTTTCAGAATGCAGATATGACCCTCAGATACTCCTAAAATATAGTTTTTGAGATGTTGCCGAGTCGTGCCTATATATAAAAGTAATCGATCAGCAATGACATAACCCGTAGTCACGGGCATGATGTTGATGAAGCACGCACCCCACATAGACTTTTGATGCTTATCTTCGATATTCGTCACCCCGAAGTTCGCTTTTTTCGATTCCGGATCGAAATCAAGGGTGCAAAACGAGGGAATATTAAGTGTCATTTTGCCTATTTGCGTATAGTTTAGCAATCTAAAGCTCCTCGAGTTACTATTCCATGCGAGACGTAAACGGACCTAGAGGGCCAGACACTTCCACGCCCATAGTAGGGACATCCACCGCCCGTGATTTCGCGATGCTCTGAGACTTCGGCAATTTCACAAATTTCAACGATACCTCTGGTGGCACTGCGATCGGGGCAGCACCGATTCGGGATTCTCTAGATGACGAAGTGGAAAATTTTTGAGACTGTTGCGGTAAAGAAAAAGCAGGAATAAGGAACGCTGGAGGAGGACTAGATCTTATTGTCTCCCGAAGGAATCTCCGGTAGGAGTGTCGAGCTATTGACCCGCTCATTTTCGTAAAAATTGCACCAGTTTGCCCCAGTGTTGAAAACGATATACTCAGTACGGAGTACCTGACGAGCTCCATTTCCTCCAAGCCTGAAGCAAGGTCACGTGCATGGAGTATGATTATCTGGTTGTATCCCCTAGTCAAACCTTAATGTAGTTAGTTAACTATCTGAGTGAGCGAAGTTGTGGCACAGAGATGATCGCTTAGCTAAGCAGGTTCGAGACTACTTGTCGATATACGCGGACATCATGAAGTACTTTACAGAATATCTATGTGGAGGAATTAGGATCGATAAGTCAATGAATTTTGCTTTAGGGCTACCTGACAAAGAATGAACTGTTGAAAGGCTGACACATCCACTCCAATTAAGCAAGAGGAATGCACTTTGCTTCACAACAAAAAGAACAACTTCAATCTTCCATATGTTCTAGGAAGCAACAGAAGGAAAGATGGAACATTTTGTGGGAGCTGGTGATGATAAGGGATTAAACCATTTGCTAGCTAGCAGAAAGGAGTCTGGAGTAGAACCTGGTGTCAATGTTGAAGTATGCTACTTCTCTGTCATTATTTTGTTGAAGGATGAGCTACCTTGATGTTAAGCTAAATCTCTGATCGGATTGCCCTATAGGATTATCTTCTTCCTCGAACACTGACTCAAAGACTAGCCAAAGGAGTCTTACCACCTAATACTTCCATTCATCGAGATGCACTTCTAGCCATAACAAAAGCAGCTACAGTCTTTGTTTCATACCTCTCATCCCAGTGAGTTATATCTTATCCTAATTTGTGATTTGCTCACTCAACTGTATTGTAGTGCTAATGAGGAAACCGATAAAAAAACAATAACTCCACATGACATTCTTTCTGCACTCAAAGAAATTGAATTTGAATCATTCTGTCCCCGCCTTGAACGCGAGTTGGATTTCTATGCCGAAGCTACTGCATATAAGCAAAGGAGTAAGAACGATAAAGGGCCATCGGATAAGCTACCCAACAGAGTCATGGCTGACCTGGGGGATACTAAGAAGGAGCTGGGTAATAAGAGAGTAAAGTTGGGTGATGTTTTGAATTTGAGAAAGGAAGGAGATGGGAATAAACATGTGATGGACATGTCCAAAAATGGTGATATTGCTGATCGCGGCGCTGGATATCATAAGGGCGAGTATAGCCCAGGTGATGTCAGTGGCCAAGATAACGAGCAGGTGGAGGAGGAATGGGAGGCTGAAGAAGACGAAGAGGAGAAAGATGGTGATGATAATGAAGATATCGATACAGAGGGGGGCTACAGTGAGCAAGGAATGAGTTCAGAGAATGATAATATTAGTCCAGATGATGACTAATAGGTTTGCGCTTAGTTTAGGTACTCCGTAGTTAATTGATGCGGCTCCTGATCAGGTGTGCTGGACGACAACTGTGAGGTCTTCTTCTCTCAGTATTCACCGTAAGACCGCCGGTTACATGAACAGTCAATTCGTAGGCTTAGAAATTCTAAGCTTATGGAAGTTCATCCTCAGATAACCTAGCATTTATCTTTGGCCATATTTTCTCTTCCTTTCTAATGACAGCGCAAAAACTAGGACAATTCCTGCTTTAGCTTGTGAAATATATTTGAACGTCTTTATAGGAACTACTTGTCCATTCAAACGGGAATTGGAAGCCAATTACTATTGTCTTCATTAATTTAATTCTCGAGGATGAAGGCTCCTCCAATTTTACTCCTTTCCTATTGTCTCTTGGCTTATATGGTCCTCGGATTCCTTTCCTTCAATTTGCCTTTTCGGAAAGGTAATGTCGAAAATTCAGAATTCCCGTATGGATCATTTCTTGACGGATACAGATGCTAGTGCTTTTCTAAGACTAAAATCCACCATGGATTTATCATCGCTTCTCCGCCCAGATCCTACACTGAGCAATGAAATACTTTCCGACGCCATTCGACTCTTAGATTCTATGAAGACATCTTCATCTTGCCATCAGCGCGCCGTCATGGACTTAGTTTCTTCTTGCCAGTCACTTGAAGATAACGCAAAATCTCGTGGCAAGGATTCCTCGACTCACTTGGACCAGTTTAAATCTCTATATGCCGCTAGGCTAGCAGTATGCGAGCTTGATGGCGCTGGTGCAGCAACCCCTGATAGCTGCATACCTATCCTAAATATACAACATGAAGACACTATACTCAATTCGTATAATGAAGGCGAGAAGGTGCGGAAGGTCGTTGTGCCGGCACATCTGACTTCCTGCCTCCAATCACTAGAGTCTAAGCCACAGTGGTGGACAAGCTATAGCAACAGTAGGCAGAATGCGGCCGTGATGTGTCAAGCTTCTCGCTTCGAAATAGAACGAGATGAGCTGCTCAAACATCACAGGGACCTTGCAAAGATTACATTCGGCCTTAGTGCATCTTTGAATCAATCACTAACTGATGCTTCACTGGAGGCATTGAAACAGCGTAACTTCTTGAAAATTCTCGATGAGCTACGTTTGAAAAGGGTCAATGATCTCAAAACTACAGATACCCTCTCTCGCGAAAATTTTGCGTCATTTCTCAAGGGTGTAGAAACCCAGATATACAAAGCTGGTATGGATGCGAAGAACTCGATGATAGAAATTTTGTCAGATGCAGAGGTGCTATCTAAGGTCAACTTCTTGTATAAAATAATCGTGTGCACTTATTGACTCTATGCTAGAACATTTTGTCATCTCTTGATACTATTCGAGACTTAAAAAGGAGTATCGATGATATTCACACTGAAGCCATGGATAAGGATTCTAAAAGAATAGCTGCAGAGCAAGAGAGCCATAATGCCAACTCTGAGATGGCGTTAGCTATTCGCTCTTCACTAGATGAGATCAAAAATCATGGCATGGTTCATCTTAATCTTGAGTTTCAGAACTTCCAGTCTTCTCTGGTATGTACTTTTGTTATGCATGCTATAGAATTCAATATGTTAACACTTTGCATAGGTTTCTCTGAACCAAGTAACTGCTTCTATACACCAAAAGCAAACTTCCCTTGACCAGGTACCTCTTAGTTCCGTTATTCTACAGGAATATCTCTGATTTCAGTAGCGTATGGAGCATTTCGACCGTATGTTGGTGCAGTTCGAAGCAAAAGCTCTGCAACTTCAAGAGCTACTGCTCGCTCAAATTTCGAACCATTCTCGGCTTTCAGAGGCATTTCAGTCTGATTTCCTCGTTTCAAGGGCACTATTAAACGACGCAACCAATTCCGCCGCAAACTTAGCATCGGTCCTAGAAGACTCGCTGCAACAATTTACCAAAATCTCCAGAATAGGAGGCGTGCTCAGTTCGCCTTCTTGGCCAGTTTTGGTCTTATTATCATTTTGTTTTCTAATCATAATTAGTCCAAGGCTGGTGGTAGCCTGCCTTCTCATCCTGGGTAAGATATATCCTAATCTGAAAACCTGATACATATGTTAACCCGGTTCGCCCCTAACTACAGCTACATCAACGGGGTTTCTCTTAAATGGAATGCTTAGCAACTGGTCCGGCGTGCAAATCTCTTTTCTCCGCTTAGTTATTAAGCCACACTCAATCCGGCTTTCCACATATTTTTTCCTTGGGATGGTTCTGGGAGTGATTGCTGTTATAATTATCCTCAAAAAGGGATACATTTCGCTATCTGCAACTCGTGACTTGTATATCAAGGCCGTAGGCGGGCCCAAACAAAGATTTTCGGGTGACCTTGCATAGAGCCGATTTCTGATACATAAAATTGGCTTTGTTCACCCTTCATTCACATCGTGCCTAGCCCGATTTTACTACGGGCATTGACTGCCATCTTATGACGGCATCTGGTCCTCGACATTCACTGGCTGATGCTTGATGCTCTCCATGAAACACAAAATATACCCTCTATATACTTGATAATAATGACCCAGCGATCGATACTGGAGTTTCGGTTGTGAATCTATAGCATCTCGCAAATATCTTATGTCTATGTTTTATTTTTGTATCTCTTATGTGCTTCAGCACTTAATTACACCCCCATATCAGAAGGAAGGGACCGAACTTATAATGCTTTTGCTCAATTCTAGTTGTTCTCTTGAAAAGACAATATGAAAACCCAGACTCCGTATAATTTTGTTCTAAACACAGTGTAAGGGGGGATTATCAATGGAAAAATAGCCCTGGGATAACTCATTCCGTTTCAGAAGACCAGCAGAGGAGCATGGAGGCTAATAGGCACTTATGAGACGTTCTCTCTATACATACGTATGTGTATGTACTGAAGATGCTTTGTATACACTCTATATGCAGTCGCCTCAACCGCCCTTCATACTGGGCACCCATTAGTCTTTTTAGAAAAAAAAAGCCCCTGAGAAATACAACAGATTCACGGTGGCAAATATCAGGGTGACTCGAATGCGCGGAATATGGAACTTTGTGTCATCCCAGGCTGGCCGATGACTCACTCGCCTGCATCTATGCGGGCATGACTGTAAGAAATCTCAGCTAGGTAGCTAGGTATTTAACCCTGTGGGAATCCGAGTTCAGGTCGGGAATATGCAAAGTGAGGAAGCGATATTTCAAAGTAGTCGAGCGTGATTCTCCCCTTTGTTCATTTCCCAGCAGCGTCTTGGCGCACCTCAAATTCCACCTGCGTTTTGTCGCGCAACCTCGTCAGTGTTTGTTAGAGATCCCGGCGAGAGAGACAGAACAGAGAGCTGCTGACAAGCAGATGCGTAGGATTTCCCCGGTTTATTACCGCCTCAGTCCTCCAATATGCCCGCCCTTTTTGTCGCTTCTCTTGGTAATCCTCCGCCAAAATACCAGAAGACCCTGCATTCCGCAGGGCACATCCTCATCCGCGCGCTCGCAGAATACCTCTGCGCCAACTCCTTCGCACCAACGCCGCTTCTCGCCAGCGGCCTTACCACAGAGGCATACTTACCGCGCTCGCAGACGAAATTAACCCTATGGCAATCGCCCACTCTCATGAATGTTTCCGGCCCAACCTTGGTGCGCGCGTATAAAAGCTGGCTAACTCGAGAACGAGCACCGGCTGTTCTCTCTCCCAGTATACACCCGACAGGTATCAAGAAGAAGAAGAGCCCGATGCGGCCGCCGCTGAGTCTGATATTGGTACATGACGAGCTAGAGCTCCAGGCTGGTGAGCTCCGGATACGTCGTGGAGGCGCCGAGCTGTCTGCTCGAGGTCACAATGGGATAAAAAGCGTGACGCAGAGCTTGGTCAAAGCCAACCTTCTACCAGCGTCGTCAAAACTCGGAGGGAAACATTCTGGTGGAGGGGACGATGTAGATGTGCCCCCGATTCTACTCCGCGTGGGCATTGGAATTGGGAGGCCTGCGTCTCGCGATCCTAATACCGTAGCGGACTACGTGCTGCGGGAAATGCGTGGTTTTCAAATCGACCAGACTTGCCAGCAAGCAGGACGTCTTGCTGATATGTTGGAGACAGAAATGGCTACAGTGCAGCCCTGAATTCTGCCTTTTCGTCTTTCATTTCTGATACCAAATATATCAACCAACTTCGTACTATAGAACTGGAGTTTTGGGTACTTCTTGGATTCGGGAGCATAGCATATTGGCATGCGTGGGCCATTTTACTGTTTTAATGGAGTCTTATAAATATTAATGCCGTGTCTTATTTTGTTTTTTTTTCTACCCCCTAACTGTACAGATGCAGATCAACAGTCGCTATCTATATATACCACCCTATCCGGATGGCTAGTGAAACGGTTTTAGACTTTTGTCTAAGCCATCAGAGCGTTGCCTTTGTCTGATCCCTCGACTGAACCCACCTGTCAATAACGGCTACGAGCTTCTGGATTTCTTCTATTGAGTTTCTTGCATGGAGGCAAACTCGGACCCTCTCAGTGCCAAGTGGAACTGTTGGCGCCACGATTGCCCTGACCATGAGCCCTTCCTGCTGGCAAGCTTTTGCAAGATCGTGAGGGAATTTGGTTTTGATCGAAAATATAGGAGATGTGGGATGATGCCTCATCTGAAGGATGCTTTTGTCCGTTGGGGAAATAACGGCGAGACTTGTCCGTAGCAATTGTATTTTTTGCTGGAGCTGTGTTTGGAGCTGTGAAAAGATTAGTGTCTCAGTTAGGGTAGAGGAGCCAATTACGGGAACATACAGGCACCATTGCCCCTTCAGCCATGAGCTCATAAGTTGTACGGGTCGCCACGAGAGTTGGAATGCCGGAGGCACTGCTAAAAATTAATGGACGGGCGAAGTTTGTCAAATAGTCCCGGGTAATGGGGTGACAGAGCGCAATAGCTACATCGTGTCAGCAGCTTTCCTACCAGCAATATGCTCTACTGCATGTTCCACGTACCTCCAAGGCTAGCAATGGATTTTCCAAACGTATGCAATCTGATAAAGACCCTATCCTGGACGCCAAGGCTCTGTACCACCCCTCCTCCTCTAGGCCCCAGGATCCCAGTAGAGTGCGCTTCGTCGATTATCAATTGACCATTGCCACCAGGCAGTAGCGTCTCCAGTACGTCTAATATCTCTCGGATTGGCGCAAAATCACCTTCCATGCTATACAAAGACTCAGTGGCCACAATCACATTGCGCTTGCCAGAACGTATCAAATGATCCATGTCTATCTCCGCTTGGAGCTTAACTCGAAAATCCTCCACAGAATTATGCTGGAATGCGATACGTCTAGAGGCTCTGGACAGCCTCATACCATCATGCGTACTGGCATGAATCAACTCATCATACATGATTACATCCCCAATCTGTGGAATGCAGGAAAAGATACTGACATTCGCGTCATATCCGGAGTTGAAGAGTCGGCCACTTGGTGCGCTGTGGAAGTCGGCCAGGAATTTCTCCAGCTCCTCTGCATATTCAGAATTCCCGTCCAAGAGCCTGGAGCCGCTGCTGGCGAGGCGATGCGAAGCAGCAATCTTGGAAAGATTGTCCAGGTACAAGTCACGGAAGCCGGGACATGTAGAAAGAGATAAGAAGTCATTCGAAGAGAAATCCGCGACATCAGACGGAAGCGTTTTCAAGGACCTGAGGCGTCCTCTTGTCTTCCTTTCCGCCAAAATCGCGCGAAGTCTTTCCAGTAGAGGGTTTGGTGTTGCCATTCTCGCTCCAGTGCCCAGTAGTTGAGCCAGAGGGGGAGAGCTTGTCGCCGGCAGCAGCGTAAATAATATAGCACGCGGGTATCTGGTGCCGAATTGCCCCTGGAGACTTGGTAACAATAGTGTCGTTATTAGAGTATGCACATGCGCAATGGAAGATTTCTGCAAATAAAAACGAGCGGATCTGGGTGAACTAACACGGCTGGCCAGCTGGGCACCCGTCTGACTTTAGTGCGGCACCAGGACGGTTCTCCGCAAGGATCCAAGGATTGCGGAACCTTGTTGATAAAGGGAAAAAAAAGGGCACGCCGCTCCCGCCGTCAAAGAAACCAGTCTCCCCTATGCAGGAGCCTGCGTTTGCCAGGCCATGCGGAGGTTGCCCGGCAACAGGTCACAGCTCTCCAGCGGGTTGGAAATCCGGTCAGACGGGCTGGGGCCCGGGTATCAGACACAGTAATGCCCGTGGCATCTTCCCCGGATCTAGACTTTTATCACCCAAGAAATCGGAGATTTGGGCGGCGCGGGACCTAGAACGGCGTAGGCGAGTCGTGATTAGCAGTGAGTCCGGCGGAGTCTGGAGAGAGTTAAACCTAGCGGGCAACGCAGCTAATCGCCGGCCGCAGCGTTCGGTGAGATCAGCTGGGCATTTGCAGGACGCGTGTTGCTCGCCTGCTCGCCTGCTCGTGCTCGGTAGCTCGCGATTCGCATCATGATATCCTCGTTCGTCGGCAGCGGGCTCTGGCGCACCGCGCGTGCATACCAGGTCTACGGCGCCAACACGAACGTGGGGAAGACGGTCGTGTCGACGATCCTGTGCAAGGCCATTCCCGCCCTCTCGCCCGCCGACCCGCTGCGCTTCCTGAAGCCGGTGTCGACAGGGCCGCGGGCGGACGCTGACGACCGGTGGGTGGCCCTGTTGCTTTGCTGCCTGGCTGTGCGGGTTGACGGCCGCGCAACGTCGTGCGTCGATACGAGAGCCTCGCTGACTGACGCCCTGCCATTGGATATAGGCATATCCGGCGCTTTGCGGACGGCATCGCGACCAAATGTCTCTTCCAGTTCGACGAGCCCGTGAGCCCACATCTCGCGGCGCGCCTTAAGCCGGTGAGTCGTCTGCTGCGTTGTTGTCGAGGAGACTCGTTACTTACCGTCCCTCTTCGTTGCAGTGCCCCCAAGATGCGGAAATCGTCGAGGCAGTATCAAAGACACTCAATGCCTGGGCCGAAGAGGCGCCTGGCATCTCCCTAGTCGAGACTGCTGGGGGTGTTCTCTCACCAGGCCCCAATGGAAGCCTCCAGGCCGATCTTTACCGCCCGCTGCGACTGCCTGTTGTCCTGGTCGGCGACTCCAAGCTAGGCGGAGTGGCGGCGTCCATCTCAGCGTACGAGTCTCTTGCAATACGTGGGTACGATGTCGAAGGTGTCATGCTGTTCGAAGACCAGTACTACCGGAACCATGAATTCCTCCGAGAATTCTTTGGAAAGAAGGGGGTTCCGCTGTATACCTTGCCACAGCCCCCGCAGAAGCAGGAGAGCGAGACTGAAATTGCAAAGCTAAAAGACGAGGAAGCTATGAGATCGTTCTACGAGAACGCAATGAAGCATGATAACATTGCTGCACTTCTTGAAAACCTCAAGCTTAAGCATGCGAACCATGTTGAGCGCCTAGATTCTATGGCGAAAAGGGCGCATGAAGTTATATGGTACCCATTCACTCAACATCATGGCATGACTCCAAAGAACATCACCGTGATCGATTCGGCGCACGATGATTGTTTTCAGACGCTGAAACCCAACGGAGATTCAGCCCCAACGAGTGCGCCTGGGTTGCTTCAAGCAACATTCGACGGCTCCGCATCCTGGTGGACTCAGGGGCTAGGCCATGGCAACCCCGACCTGGCTCTGTCTTCTGCTTATGCTGCTGGCCGCTACGGGCATGTCATGTTTGCCGGAAATGTTCACGAGCCAGCACTCGCACTGGCTGAGCTCCTCCTAAATGTGGGACAAAATATTCGCTTGAAGAAGGTTTTCTACACTGACAATGGCAGCACCGGAATGGAGGTTGCGATCAAAATGGCGCTACGGGCAGCTTCTGTCCGCTACGGTTGGGATGCAAGCAAAGAGACAGTCAGCATCATCGGTCTCAAGGGAAGTTACCATGGAGATACGATTGGTGTCATGGATTGTTCAGAGCCCTCTACGTACAACAAGCGTGTGGAGTGGTATAGAGGGCGTGGGCACTGGTTTGATTTCCCCAAGGTGCAAATGTCCAATGGGGTCTGGAGTGTTACGGTCCCTGAAGAGCTGAGCGCCGCTCTCGGTGATGATGTGAAATTTCCAAGTTTATCCGCGATTTTTGACATCGAAGCGCGAGCAGACTCGCCGAGTGCCAAAAGATACCAACACTATATCAAAGTAACACTCGAAAGAATGGTTGAAGAGAAGGGCATGAAATTCGGCGCTTTGATCATTGAGCCTGTCATTCTTGGCGCCGGAGGCATGCTGTTCTCGTAAGTTCAAGGCTCCATGATAATATCTAGGAACTACAACTAACAGCACTCCTACAGTGACCCTCTTTTCCAGCATTCCCTAGTCCAAGTCATTCGCAACCGCCCAGAGATCTTCAAATCTGGTTCTTCACCGCCCTCCACGCCAACAGATTGGTCTGGCGTCCCCGTCATTTTCGACGAAGTCTTCACCGGTCTTTACCGTCTAGGTAGAATCACCTCGGCGTCGTTCCTCCAATGCCACCCCGATATCACCGTTAACGCTAAACTGCTCACCGGCGGCCTCGTCCCGCTGTGCACCACCATGGCCAGCAACGAAATCTTCCAAGCCTTCGACAGCCCACATAAGCATGACGCACTTCTCCATGGCCACAGCTACACCGCTAATGCCGTCGGATGCAGTGTTGGAATGAGCGCTGTTCACACCATGCTCGACATGGAAGAGAGCGGCTATTGGCGGGGCTATGTCCGGGATTGGGCAGGCTGCGGAGAAACACCGCCACCAACCAAAGATGCCGATCATGATACAGAGGGTGCTACGGCCAGACCAGAGGTGTGGAGTTCGTGGTCACAAAGTGTGGTGAGGGATTTATCATTCGCCGAGGAGGTGGAGAGCATCTTTGCCATGGGCACTGTCTTGAGTATAACCCTGAAAGACAAACAGGGTGGCGGAGGTTCGTCGATATTTTTTCCCTTCTCCAATTCCTTTTTTTCTTTTTTGTTTATTTTCTAAATTTATTGTCTCTAGGCTACACATCGACCGCTGCTAGTGGGTTGCAACAGCACTTGCTGGCCGGATCTGACGGATTTAACATCCACTCACGTGTTTTGGGAAATGTCCTCTACCTCATGGCGAGCATCACGTCAAAAAAAGAAACATTATCAAAAATCGAGAAGCTTCTTTGCAGAGCTTTGCTGTAAATGTTTAATTCACTTGTGAGCACTTGCTGGGGTGTCGAAATGTACATTATTGGCATACTACCTATTCGTACTACGATTTGGCATGGAAATTAGCGGGCCCAGGCTATATAAAACAGATCCTTTTAATTATGCAAAATTTACATTAGAAAAGAATATAGTTCAAGTCTACATCAGTTCAGTGTTTTGATGGTTTATTATGCTGTTGTTTCCGACTGGGATCGCGTCTGGGCCGGTTCGGGAGGTGGAGGGGTGGCAGTCTCCGCTGTGACTCTGCCTCTATACTCGCCTCTCTTGAACGGCGGCATAGGGTAGTACCCCCATTTATCAAAGATCTTCTTATCTTCCTCCCATCCGGAACAGTCGGTCGTCAACATCTTCTCTCCAGTAAAAATAGCGTTCGCGCCGGCTTGGAAACAAGTGACTTGCTGCTCTTCGGACATAGAGATACGGCCAGCCGCCAATCTCACGATCGAGATTGGGAGTACGATACGTGCCGTGGCCACGGTTCGGAGAATCTTATCAAAAGAAATCATTTTTCTGTCTCCCAGCGGTGTTCCCTTGATTGGCACAAGGGCATTGACAGGGAAAGACTCCGGGTGCGAGGGAAGCGTCGCGACAGTGTGGAGTAAGCCAACACGGTCGGCATCGCCCTCTCCCAAGCCAAGAATGCCACCAGAACAGACGTTGATACCGGCATCGCGAACATGCCCAAGCGTCTGTAAACGTTCGTCGTATGTTCTGGTGGAGATGACAGAGGGATAGAATTCTCTTGATGTGTCAAGATTGTGGTTATATGCCGTCAGGCCCGCGTCCTTGAGTTCTTTGGCCTGGTCACCGTCAATCATGCCTAGAGTGACACAGACTTCCATTCCCATAGATCGCACCCCAGACACCATAGCCTTGATATTTTTCAAGTTCGTCTTGCGACCACGCATATCTCGCCAAGCGGCGCCCATGCAGAAACGGGTACTGCCATTCTCTTTCGCAACCCGTGCAGCTTCTAACACAGAGTCTACAGGACTAAGCTTCGTGGCTTTGAGGCCTGTGCTGTAACGTGACGATTGGGCGCAATAGGAACAATCTTCGCTGCATCCACCAGTCTTGATGTTCATCAACGTACACATCTGAATCGCGGCGGGGTCATGGAAGCGACGATGAACCGTAGCCTAATGGTAGGTTGGCGGGTTAGAAGGGCATCCTGCCGAGACTCTGGGGCGGTGAGCATACCGAGGCATATGTGAGTTGGTTCAAAGGCGTATTGTAGATTTTCTGTATCTCTTCTCGGGTCCAGTTCATCCGAGGCCCGGTGGCTGTGATGGCATCTTGGAGGATGGAGTTGGCGAGAGGGGGGGTCGGCGACGAGGCAGCGGGGGGAATAATGGTGCTTTGCACAGTGCCATATGATCTGCGAAGTAGACCTCTGGCAGCTGCTGTCCGTGGGAGTGATAGGGCAGCCATCGTAATGAGGATGCCGGCAGGCGAGTGGGAGGAGAGGGGAAGCAGCAGAGGTCGAGAACTGTGCCCCGTCGCAGAAAAATGCACGGCGACGACAGAGTCGCCCCTCGACCACAGGTGGTTGTAGTAGCTAGTTAGGGATTGTCTTGCAACTGCGATATCAACACCCAGTGATGGTCGGAGGATTAGGTCTCAGCTCGATCCTGGAAGGGCGGGTGGTGGGGAGATCGCCAAGCCAGCTCGCAGCCGTCAGCGTGCGCCAATGGCAGCGCCGGCTTATCCGCGTCGCTCGTCGCGGTCCGACGCCCGATCTTGCGCGCACGCACCGCCGGTTTCCGCGGGCAACTACCGGCCCGCCCGCGCCTGAGTGGTGGAAATAAGCCGCTAAATCCCGTCGCCTAAGCCCGATGACTCAGCAACCCGCACAGCACTCGCCCCTGATTTGTCCTTACAGCCCCACCTTCCTAGCCAATTAGCAGCCGCGCCCTGATTATAAATCGAGGCCCGGGCCGACGAAATTGCCGAACCTTCCTCGCCGGCTCGAAAAAGTCGCCGCGCAAGTCTTGTGTTTGAGAGCCGCGGGAACTGGATATTACAGATTATTAATAGGCAGGCAATGGTTCGTAGATTTCTCTGTAGTTAACTGCCTATCGACATCCTGAAAAAGACACAAATCTCTCATTGCCATGCTAGACAAACGTTTGGAGGGCGTTCGCAACGAGCCAGCCCCTGGAATAGGCTATTTCTCCCCCTATCAAAACCCCAAGGCCGGCACCGCCGCAGATCCCCAATCCGATGGCACAAAGCCACCCAAGTTGTTCCAACCGCTGAAATTGCGCGGCTTGACGCTGCAGAATCGCATCGGGGTATTTTGTCTCTGCCAAACTCTTGTCACTATTAGGATGGGCTGTACTGATGGACTTCTCTGTCACTAGCTATCCCCCCTCTGCCAATATTCCGCCGACGATGGCCACATTACAGACTGGCATATGGCCCATCTGGGTGGCATCTCGCTTCGAGGGCCAGGGTTCATACTAATGGAGGCTACTGCAGTGCTTCCAGAAGGAAGAATATCACCCGAGGATGCCGGCTTGTGGAAAGATTCTCAGATTGAGCCCCTGAGGCGACTCACGGAATTTATCCACAGCCAGAACCAGGTGATTGGCATACAGCTCGCCCACGCTGGCCGGAAAGCGAGCACTCTGGCCCCGTTCCTTGCGACTGGCGATATTGCTGTGGAAGCAGCTGGCGGCTGGCCGGATAATATCAAAGGCCCGAGTGACATTCCGTACTCTGCACGACTGGGTCAGCCAAAAGCTATGGCCAAGGCAGACATCGAAGAGGTGAAACAAGCCTGGGGCGCTTCAGTGCGGCGCGCAGTAGCCGCTGGGATGGACTTCATTGAAATCCACAACGCGCACGGCTATCTCCTGTACTCTTTTTTGTCACCTGTTTCCAACAACCGCACCGACGAATATGGCGGAAGCTTTGAAAACCGCATGCGCTTGACCAACGAAATCGTCGATATCTGCCGTCAGAATATGCCCGAGGATATGCCGCTGTTTTTGCGATTTTCCGCAAGCGACTGGCTGGAAGAGTCCCGCCCAGATCTACCCAGCTGGAAACTGGAGGATTCTATTCGCTTTTCGCAAGTGCTTGCAGAAAAAGGGCAAGTGGATTTTCTCGATGTGAGCTCGGGCGGCAACCATCCCGATCAAAGGATTGCGCTGGGTCCATCGTTCCAGGCGCATTTTGCTATCGCGATAAAGAAAACGGTTGGAGATCGAATTGCCGTTGGTACTGTTGGGGGCATTACAAATGGCAATCAGGCTAATGATCTGCTTGAGAAAGACGGATTAGATAGTGTACTGATAGGCAGACTCTTTATGAAAAACCCCGCGGCGGTATGGACCTTTGCAGAGGATCTGGGCGTCGATTTCAAGATTGCCAATCAGATTGGATGGGCTTTTGCAACACGGGGATCAACAGGCTTTCTGAAACTCAAAGGCAAAGTGCACAAAATTTAGGCCATGTCGATTTACTAAAGAAAATTTCAAAATGACAAGAGTCTATATCGTACATCTACCAATAATAGAATCCTTTGATCAAATGAAGCAGACTCGAGAAAACAATTATACATGTACGTACAAATGGGCAAAGATAGCACAATATCTTGCTGAGTATCGACTTCAGATATCCTAGGATTTGAGCTAGTTTCTCCGGATCTTGTTAGACAATTGGACATCATTTGCTTAAACTACCCGAAGCGACGCAGAAAATGAAACATTATTTTCTGACAAAGTGATGCATGAAAAGATATTATCATCAAGATGGTATTATGAAGAAAAGCTGGACTTGGTAACGGGAGATAGATTCGGATTACTGTGGAATGTATGATTGACTCCTAAGCTCTGTTGAGTGGTAGAGAAGCGAGCAAATTTATATAACAGGCCAGTAAGCACAACAAAGTGACTCGGTCCTATTGGGTGGGTGAGGGGTCCACAGACAGAATAGTTGGGTATTGATGCATGAAGTGTTCGGCACAACAGCACCAGTCCAATCACTGATTCGCTGAGCGATATTTTTTAAGGGTATAACTCGGGAGTGTAAGGTAGATGATTTTAGCGTCAGCTTCCAGGAAGATATTCTGCATTACAGTAGCTTCTAACTCTCGTAGGCGGGCAGGATGAGCTTCCCGTCGATGGCTACGTAGTGATAGGACTGTCCGTCGGGGGTGGTGAGAGATCAACTACCAATGCAGCTAACTTGGTACATGCTATTTTGGTAGTTTGGTTAATATCTAGGTCCATAGGGAGAATGTTTTCATCGGTATCAGTGAGATTAGCAATATCATTGGGATCCTCCATATTGTATCGTTTGGTTCGGATTATCCTGCCGAGCAGGGCGTCTAATTTACAGTTGGTTGCAAAAGTATTGCGAAATGTGCCAAATTCGCGTTTTTTAGTGTGCCCTAGGAACTCCACACAAAACATAGATATGTAGAAACCCAATTTTGCTCAAATTTGGCTTGTACAATCAACTGCAATCTATTTCTCATATATTTTGTTAGTAAAACTGTTTCAATAGTGATAGTTAATCTCTCACATATCAAATCATGACTTCTTATAAGTTTCATCATTCTGCACTCAAAGCTATCAAGAAAACAGCTCTCTCACATGCCAAAACTGCAGAAGCTTCTTCTGAGCTTAAATTAAAGCTTTGAAGTTCAGCTTTGACTTCTATAGCAGCTGAAGATGAGAATATGAATGTCAATCAGAAGAATACACAGTTTAAGTCTTCAGAAACTATTTCTACTACAAAGAAATGTGATTGAAATTTTATTAAAAGTCTGTCTGTCAATCTTTTACTGCTGTCATCATCATCACCACCATCTGATTCTCTAGATAATGTCAGTATCATTGTTATTGTTAAATGTATGATTGAAAAGCAGAATGTGGCAGAAAAGACTCTTCTTTTAAAGCTCATGAAGTTTTTTGAATGAAAGTCTTTCTGAACTCAGTATTTTATGAAGATTAATCACTGAAACTATAAGAATGAGCAAAAGATCTCTTATATTGATGCTCTAGCACAGATTTTCTATACAAAGACAAAGACTCAAAGCACAACTATTATGAAATCATTCATTAACAATTAAGAGAACTGACAGCAGTTATTAACAGTTCTTGAACATTTCATACAATCAGACTTCATGTGCAAATATATTTATATAGTAATGAATTTTGCAGCAAGTTCTTTCAAAACAGCATTTAAGTCAATAACTACTAATGTAGAATCTTCAAAGCACTTTAAATTAAAGCTTTCATCTGTTGTTGTGAAGAATATATTCTCTTCACCATCATCATCACTGTCATCAGTACAGCACAAAAGATCACAATCAACATCTACAATTTATTAGCTTACTGAAATTAAGAAGAAGAAAGATTCTAATACTGCTTAATTAATAAAAGAGCTGCAAATCAATTATTCATGTAAATTAAGAGCTTGTATTAATTATAAAAAGAGTTCTTATTGAATCTTCTATTTAAATGACAGTCATATTTCACTGATATTCAGTAACTACATGATCTGAATAGAGTAAATTAAAGCAGAGTATGCTACATCTACTAATTCTTCTGAAAAGCTTATGAAGCAGTGGCTACAAGAGCAAATGAAGAAGAAAAATAAAGATAAAAATAGAGATAATGAAGAGTTTTCTAAAACTTTAAATGTATCTTCTTCAAACATTGCTTCTATTATGGTTTTTGAGTCTTCAGCTTCTACTAATGACATGAATTTAAATCTTATGCAAATGATGCTGTTAAAGCATTTTACTAGCAACTCTAATCAGTAAAATGCAGTGTCTATCTATTCATACTATTCTTCTTCTTCAGTATCTGCTTCAATGTCAGTGTCAGATTCAGTTTAATATACAATGAACTGAACTTCTTCAGACAATTCTATAACTCTCAAATGAGAGTCTGCCAGCATAGAATCTCTACATATGTCATAGTTAATTAGCAATTCATTCATGATGAGTATTTCTTATTTCTCTGACATGAGATCTTCAAATTCTCTGAGTGTGAAAGAGTTGTCTGCACAGTCTGCATCTATATTGAAGAATTCAATAAGTAAAATTGCTGCTTTGTGACAAAATATTTTATTTCAGTCCAGCAGCTCTGTATCACACTATGAAGAGTATAATGACAGTATATTTAATGTCTATGCTCAGTGACTTATAGTAAAGAGATCTGCACAAAAGCAGACAATATTGAAGGCTCAGACATCTCTACAGACACAAAATTATAAATTAGATCAAGTACAAGATCTGAAACCCAAGCAGCTTACTCAATTAGACATTTGCATGGACACATTTAACATTCTATGTGCAGATTTGAAGAATCCAACATGAAAGACTCTTGCACAGACTAGATTTGTTGAAATGGAGACACAGTTGAAGACACAAATAACTACTTAGAAGAAAGAGAATTTAATGAACAATATGATGATGTAAATTACTATAAATTCTGTCTGTATATATCAGATTATTCAACTAATCAATGTAACTATTCTTGAAGAATTCTCAAGCATTCTTCTCCTTCATGAAACTCTATACAGCATGATGTAGAAAGGCTTCAAAATCTTCAGCAAATGTGTCTGTAACTGTCATATTCTTATTTCTCTGTAACCACACTTTTAATGAGTGAAATGACTGTTCAATTAGATTGTAATCTGATGAATATGAAGATAGAAATAACAGCTTTATCTCTGCTTCACTGCACATTATACAGAGCTCATTTAAATGGTGGATTGCACAGTTATTCATTACTAGAATCAAGAAATTGTGCTGACACTGAGATAGAACTCTGTGCTGAACAAATTCATTGAATCTCTCTGTTGTGTAAAAGTCATGAAAGATATCATATGCCATGTAATCTTCTATATTCAATGCTGGCAGAATGCTCCAATGTCTGAATTAAGTACAGAGTCTTTGAACATGGCAAGAAAACTCTCTAGAAGATCACTTATAATGTCTATCAATTGTATGTTCATTGACAGCACTTTCATCAATAAAAATAAAGAATTTGAATGCATATTAAGTAATAGTAATTATTCAGTTCAATCAAAGAGTCTTGTTTTGTTGACTCATAATAGAATGAATCTATAAATGCAATAACAGATCAATAATCTCCTACAATTCTACTACTATAGAAAATTCACTCTTTTATGTGTTATTTGACAAGATTTCAGAGCTCTGCTGATTGTGGAAGTGCTAACTTTGACATCATATTCTTCACTAACAAAAGCTGCTGTCTCATTCAAATAGAAAGTGAAATATTCAGCAAAGAAATTCTCTAAATCATCAATTATATTCTTAGTGAGCTTTCTAGATCTTTCAATTACAGATTTTGATCTGTATGATGTCTGAAAATGATGAATATGCTGTGCTATGCAATATACTGTTGTGACATGGCATCTGACTACTCTAGAGATCTCTTGGACATTAGTTTTAACACATAGAAGCTCAAGAATAAGCTGTAAGATTGAGTCTGATAATCTAGGTGCCATTGAAACAGTTTTACTAACAAAATATATGAGAAATAGATCACAGTTGATTGTACAAGCTGAATTTGAGCAAAATCAGATTTCTACATATCTATGTTTTGTGTGGAGTTCCTAGGGCACACTACAGTTGGTTGCAAAAGTATTGTGAAATGTGCCAAATTCACATTTTTTAGTGTGCCCTAGAAACTCCACACAAAACATAGATATGTAGAAATCTGATTTTGCTTGAATTTGGCTTGTATGATCAACTGCAATCTATTTCTCATATATTTTGTTAGTAAAACTGTTTCAATGACACCTAGATTATCAGACTCAATCTTATGGCTTATTCTTGAGCTTCTATGTGTTAAAACTAATGTCCAAGAGATCTCTAGAGTAGCCAGATGCCATGTCATAACAGTATATTGCATAGCACAGCATATTCATCATTTCCAGACATCATACAGATCAAAATCTGTAATTGAAAGATCTAGAAAGCTCACTAAGAATATAATTGATGATTTGAAGAATTTCTTTGCTAAATATTTCACTTTCTATTTGAATGAGACAGCAGCTTTTATTAGTGAAGAATATGATGTCAAAGTTAGCACTTCCACAATCAGCAGAGCTCTGGAATCTTGTCAAATAACACATAAAAGAGTGAATTTTCTATAGTAGTAGAATTGTAGAAGGTTATTGATCTGTTATTGCATTTATAGATTCATTCTATTATGAGTCAATAAAACAAGACTCTTTGATTGAACTGAATGATTACTATTGCTCAATATGCACTCAAATTCTTTATTTTTATTGATGAAAGTGCTGTCAATGAACATACAGTTGATAGACATTATGAGTGATCTTCTAGAGAGTTTTCTTGCCATGTTCAAAAACTCTGTACTTAATTCAGACATTGGAGCATTCTGCCAGCATTGAATATAGAAGATTACATGATGTACAATATCTTTCACAGCTTCTACACAAC